AGAGCGCCGCTGCAAAGGCTGGAGGTCCTGGAGGTCATAAGGCCGACCCCACGGTCGCGCCCACCACTGAGCGAAAACGCAAAGCCGAAGCTGATGCATCCGTCACCACACATGATACTGCCGCCTCAAGCTCTGCTCGCGCAGATGCCTTGCACGCTGATGCCCCAGTTGACCCCAACAATGCACCATTTCTTGCACCCGAACCACCAACACCCAAAGCAGGAGCGCGACCATTCTTGGAGCCTGAGACACCGCCCACTGCAAAAGCAGCAAGCAAAGGAGTCACATCAAAGGCTGCAAGCTCCGGTCGCCCGGATGCCTCCTGGAGTTGGAATCGTGATCACTATGGTGCACGCCGAGAATGGAGTTTCTGGCGTGGGGCTTGGTATTACCGTGACGAGGCCGGCGGCCGGTGGATCTATTGGAACCGCAGGTAGACGATGATTTTCTTTTGTAGCATAGCGCAAGATGCGGCATGGTAATGTGCCTTCCTTGCAAAGCTGCGCTGGGTTTTACGGGCTTGAGCTTTTTATAGGGACCTTTGAAAGACTGCATAAAAATGATAAAAACCAACTAAAGAAATTTGGCTACCCGCGAGGGTATGCTCTTCTGGGTTATTCGTTCTCCGCAGTCGTCCCTGCTCGCCCGAGGGGGGTGTAAAAACTCCTGCAGTAAAACCATGTAGTATATATATATCATCGATCTACTCTGTAGCGTTGGTTCAAAAGAGCTGAGTGCTTACCGGTTTGTTGCGCCCCCATATAGTCATTGTACTATATTGTTGGCTGACCTGGTAAAATACAGGTTCACCCCATGAAATCGCATGGAAACCTTGGCTAAGCCATCTTGAAAAATCCCCTGAAATTCCATGAAGAAACCTTGGTTAAATCATCCTTTTCAGTACCATTATATGATAAAGGTCAATCCTATGGTATCTGGAAACCAATGCATCTTTAAGGTGATACCCTATATTTTCAGTGGTTCTTTTATATGATATACATTCCATAAAACCATCCTTTCCCGTGGAAAATCTCCGGAAAAAACCCATTGTGTCACCCTAGGCACGTTTACGGTGACACAGCCAGAGCCGGTTTTGGTGAAGGGCTCAGGAGGCTACCTGGTAGCGTGGCACCTTGGTCGCCGAAGTCCAATTTAACGAAACGACACGGGGAGCTCTTGGTGAATGGGATACCCTCCGGTAAACGTTTACAGTTATGGAAATCACCAAGATTAATAGGTACATCAACTACTGATTGGTGGTGACTGGAACATGACTGGATGACATGACTTTCCCATCATATTGGGAATAATAATCCTATCTGACGAACTCATATTTTTCAATATTTTTCAGAGGGGTAGGTATACCACCAACCAGACTATAAATGGGCCATTTACGATAGCAAACTGTTAGAGAAAACCGGAGGGTACAAGATCAATGGCCATTTTAGATATCTGAACTGGAGGTACCTACCATGCTTACCAACAGCCAATGTAAGGGCTATGTAAGGAGGGATATACCCCAATTTCGATTGCTGTATGGTACAGCACATCCGGTCCTGAAATTCCAATTGAAAAGATGGGATTAACCATGGCTAAAATGGTTGTTTAATAGGATAAATAATGGTGATTTGTGATGGATTTAGTGGTGTTTACTTGGAGTTAAATCACTAAATCCATTAAATCACCATTAATGGTAAGGGGATTACCACCCTAAAGCCTCTGGAAAATCATGGCCGTGGCTGGAAAATCACTTCCACGAACATCCAGTGGTTTTTTCGACGATTCAACGGTGATTTATGACTTTAGATCAGGCGCTTAAAAAACTGATGATTTTTTGAAAACCATGCTGCCATGGTGCCATGTCCTTGGTCAGTTGGGGGTAGAAGTATAGGATTAGCCAGCTATAAAATGGCCCAGTCGATTTATAGTGGATGACTACCCAGCTATAAGCTATGGTGGATCTTTACCAGAGGGCTCCCAGATATGGACCACTTGTTTGCATAGCTGGAGCTGCGACCCCACTTGCCACATGATTTCCAGATTCCAAGCGGTTGGATTTTATTTTAGGCGGGGTGCCCACTAACGATGTGGAAAAGGTGTTGGGGGAATCCTGGGGAAACCGGAAAATGATCTACAAATAGTAGGCTAACATCCATATCGATGTTTGTTTCCAGAAGGGTCACTGGTCACTGGTCGAAGGACTAGTACACACTTACCAACCAGCTTTTAAGTTCTAGGGATTCTAGGTCACCTTGGAAATGAATCCTGACACTCTACGCGGGAGTAGCGCCCGCCGGAAAATACGGGGGAGGGATAAAGCACGAAGATGGTACAGAGTAAAACTGGGCAATACTTACTTGTGCTTAGTAGGGAATGAGGGAATGATCCATAATCACTAGTAATAATCATCCCATTCCCCCATTCCCATCCATTCTCTACTAAGCACCACTAAGAATATTATCTGGTAGTTGAACATAGCTATGGAAAATCACGGTGATTTTTATGGAAAATCATCGCGCTAAATTGGTCATTTTCCACATTTTCCACCCTGTGTTTGAACTACCACAGGGCATCCCAACATAAAAACACCCCTCAAAATGGATGTGGATCTCTTACCGAATTCGCCACGGTTGGCTGATCAAATCTGGGTCATCCCCTCAATTATGGTATTCCCGGCCTGGTAAACGTTTACAGTTTGCGAACTGGAAAATCAAAAATTCGGAATAGGTAAATCAACTATAAATCAACTATAAATTAACTATAAATCAACTATAAATCAACTATAAATGGATAGAAATGAGCCATTTTCAAGTTCGCGAACTGTAACAAATTACCAGGTCGGGTATATTAGGTCTTGATTCACCTCATTGACTTCCCATCCCCATGAAATCGTAGTGACAACTCCCCGAAATTGGTGGATCTTCCAGCCGCGATTTGAGGAAAATATCCCAGCCATCGATTCAACGAACATATCCCAAAATATCCTCGATTTGGGGTCACATGCGCCCATTTTTTTTTGAGGCTCCAAAACGGATACCATCCGATTTTTTGGATTAGATCTCCAAAACGGTTTGACCAAAAAAAAAGAAACGCCATCGTCACAGCGAGCCAGCAAGGAGCCAGCAAAATGCATCCCAGGACCGGGCTCTATGCCAATGGGATTTGCTAAGAATATCGCCGGTTTGCGAACTGGAACATGGCCCAGTTAGTTCGTGGATTTTACCCATGAAAAATGGTGGATCTTTCCACTTCGCAAACTGTTAGTTCGTTTACCAGAGGGTTTTTGGTGATACCCTGGTTGATTGGTAAATTTGTTGTTGAAACTTATACTACCTATATAATTTATGTTTTTTTCCTAAGCCATGGCAGGGAAACCCAGATAAACCAACTAGTATACAGTATAACATATAATGGATATTCTGGATTGGCTCCATAATGTGTATGTATATTAATGTACATATATTTATGGCTTCAACATATTGTAACTATTCAAACATGGATATATTGGAGATGCAGCCCGCTATAACTTGATGGAATTCATGGTTCATGGCCCGCAAAAATGAGTTTTCAAAAACTGTGAAAAAAGGGAAGTCTTCGCACTAAATGTGCCCTTTATAGCTGTGTTAATTTGCGGGGAGCAGTGCAAGACGATCACTTTGGGTTGGTAAACCACAAGAATATTCGTATTAGCTTACTTCAGAGTCACTGCGAGTAGCCTCAAAACAAAAAGATGTTGGGATAGAATCTCAGCCGGTTGGTGGTTTGGAACATTTTGTATTTTCCCCAATAGTTGGGAATGTCATAACCCCAACTGACGAACTCATATTTTTCAGAGGGGTAGGTATGCCACCAACCAGCCAGTCATGATTGAGATTTTGATGTTGGACAGTTTGATCATGTTGATCATTTCTGGGGGTACCAAGCAAACCATTTCTGGGATCTATGCCATCTATGTAGAATTTCCAGCTTTATGGGTATATATATATATAGGTATAATATATATGAGGTGCATGTTTTCATGTGAATGGTGCCAGAATCTTTGGCCCGAATGAGCCTTCGCCCTCTGACGACTGGTTTGTCAGCAGGGTCATCGGTCGCTTTAGCGCTTAAGCTATTTGAGTGGGCTGATTCTGCGCACTTTCAGCCCTTGCTTGCTGGTAGCTCTTCATCGAGCCGCTTCATTGAACCCTGGTCATTCATTTTGGGATTGCTGACTAGTTTGATCATTTACGCTACCATTGAGTGGGCACTAACATTGAGGTGGTGCTTGGTTCAGTGGGTAGACCATCAGGTGAATCACAGGCCAGCGCATAGGCCTAAGGAGCTGTATAAGCTCCTTTGATGAGTGACCGCGTCCTGGCCTTGGAATCTGAGGTTAGGAAATTGAGGCGGGAGCTGCGAGACTTAAGCAGGGATTTTGATTGGGTGTGCAGGCATTTGCGCATTGTGCTCCCGCAGGACGAAACTGTAAGTGGCTCACCACGTGATTTGTCAGTTCATCTGTCTGGTGGTGAATCTGAGGGGAGCTTCTCAGTGGTGAGCAGTCGAGCTCGTGGGTATTCTGCTCCACACCGAGGTTCAGATTTAGTTCCTGAGGGGACTGTGGCTAGGACTTCACCGACATCATCGGCTTCTGGCAGGTCTCCTACTCTTGGTGTATCAGCTGCAACTGGGCCGACAGCGGCACTCTCTTGGGCTGAGCGTGAGGAAATTGCTGAGGGGATCGGACGGTTTTTCACTCGCTGCCTGCAGGGCCAGCACCGTGGTTCAAGTGGGCGAGATCGGAATCCACTGCCATCTCGTCTCTGGCTTGTGGCTCGGGACTTTGAGGGGCAGGTTTACACCCCCGTCCGAGTTTTCCGGTCCTGGGGCTCTTGCAAAAACATCTGCAAGCGCTTTGAGGACACAGGTGATTCAGTGTTTGTTGGAGTTCCCTCGGAACGTGAAGCCCGGACCGTGGTGCGTGCAGCTGGCCTCATTTGGCCAGGTGTGCTGGAGCGATGAGCGCCGAAGCCGCTGAGGAGCCGTTCGACGAAGCGGCTTCTAGTCCCTATCTGTTTGTGGATGGGGAGGTGAATTCAAACTTTGAACTTCAGATTTTCACTGCTGATTTTGCTACCGGCAGCCCAGCATTTCCATTGCTGCTGATAGCTGAGTTTGAGGGAAAGTCTTTAGTAGCTGTTCCAAGTCAAGCATGGCACCGCAGTTCCAATCGCCGCAGGATGGGCGTACCAGGTGCTCTTTCCAAGCCAACTGCAGTCGAAGTACTTGCAGCAAAATTAGATACTCCGCAAGTCAGTGCCGAAGGGATCAATTTGAAGACATGGATTGGATACCTTCGAGCAGATCTTTTGACTCATTTGCAGCCGTACTCCGAGACGGAGAACTGCGACTTTCATTTTCTGGAGGAGGATGGCGAAGTTTACATCCCCCTAGCGGCTTCATTGATTGCAGCCGCCCAGGATCATTTTGCCTTTTTCTCAGCTCAAGAGGAAGTCGCTCCGCAGACTCGTGGCGTGCGCGACGACTTGGACGGAGAGCCGCTGGGAGAACCAGGAGAACCTGGATTGGCAGCCTTGGGCGCAAGAATGACTCAGGTGGAGAGTGTGTTGGATTTTCTTCAAGATGGCATGAGGACCTTGATGGCTCAACAGAGCATGGGACAAAGGAGGCAGCCTGCGGCTTCACAGGCCTACCGGGAGACCCCGGCAGCTCCAACTGCCCAGCCGAAATGAGGCTCTATGTCTTCGTCAAAGAACCCAAACCCTCAAGCAGCTGGACTGTTTCCGCACCTGGACAAAGGTGTAGTGCAGGCAGCCCTGCAGGCGGATGTGCCAATGTCGAGTCTCAAGCAGATGGAGGATGTTGTTTCCCAGAATGTCAAGGCCAAGAAGGTGAACGATGTCAAGACCGGGGTGACTCTAGATCCTCTGTCAGAGCACGAGGACGCGCTCGAAGTTGCAGCACGAGAGGCAGAAGATGCTGGGTATCAGGAAGAAGGCCTTCCTGTTGGCCGTACTTTGGACAAGCTCACTGCGATCATGGAGATGTTGACAGAGGAGCGATGCAAGAAGGCCTCAACCTCGAAGTTGGATGCGGCACTGGACAATGTTCAGGGCTCGGGATCAGATGCTACGTCTTTAGGCTCTGGCAAGAAAAGTGCCGCGGCGAGAAGAGCGCTGAGAACGGCTTTTCAAGATCATCCCAAGGAGATATACAAGATGGTGGAGCGCCTCATGTACGAGGATCTGAACGCTCAGACTTTGCCTCCAGGTCAGCTACCGAGAGGCCTATCAGCAAGAGCTTGGGTCGAGTTTCGCAGTCGGATCACTGCCTACAAGGCCTCAGCTTACAGTGCCTGGTCGCTCAGTGGTGTCTTGGACAGCCTGATTGCAGGCAACATCTCTCAAGCGCGAGCTCGAGCTTGCTTGGGGCTGCTTCAGATCGACCAAGCATGCATCGATCGTGGCAACTATGTATTGGCAGCCGAGTTGAGCCTCGAGATTGGGCCTCCGCTGAATGCCCTCAGCCAGCATGTAGCGCCCGACATTCAGCAGGGCGAAGCACCGTTTTCCAGACTGCTGGACAGCCGATGGGCCGAGATAGCACTGGGGCACCTCAGGGACCAGGAGGACTATTTGAGTCGCCGACGAAATATCGGCAAGGGTCAGAATGCAAAGTCGGAGAGCACCGACGAGATTGCCACGCACTCCCCAAAGAGAAGGCCAAAACCGGCTGCAAAGCCGAAGGCTTCCCAGCAGAGCTCCGACAAGGGCCAAGATGCATGAACACCGACAATGTCGATGCTAGTCCTGATAGTGCTGGCTCGCCTGCGGGGTCTCCTAAATCTTTACCTGGCACGCGTGCCGCCACTGTCAATGTTGAGGGCTTTTTGAATTCATTGCCGAGGATGCTGCTACAGACAAACTGCGGCCTCCAAAGTTTTTTGCTCACCATCGTGAATAGACCCCATGGCAGCTCGCCTGTTACGTCAAAGCCTGGATGTACATGGCCATGTCCATTGCCCTATCCTGAAGTCTTTGGCAAAGATGTTGCTTCGAAAGTGTCAAATGCACACCTCAAGCGGCTCGTCAACCTTCAGGTGTTGACACTTGACTGGTTCCATTTGGGATGCCCGGAAGTGGCTCCTTCTTTTCTCTTTTTGGGATCAAAGCTCAGTGCAAAGCAGTGGTCGGCCATTAGAATGATGGAGTTCCTGGCTTTTGATCGGAATTCACCTAAATTCGTAACTGCCGCCGAGATGGGTCGTTCAGCGACAAAAGTTGAAGATTTGCAAGAATGCATGGATGTTCTTGGCAGAGCAGTTGTTTCTTTGCATGATTTTGATGGCAGCTACAGCCCTTTGAAGCCATCAAGATGTGGTATTTTTGATGAGACGTTGTCATCTGGTCAGGTTGTTGGAAGAGTCGACAAGGACCCGGTTATGACTGCCAAGCCGCTTGAGGCTACGCGTTTGAATTTTCCTGGGCCACCTTCTTTCAACCCACGCCCCTACATGGATGCTGAAACTATTGAGCGATATGATTCTCCACTACAGACTGGTCATGAGCTTGGTGAAATTTCAGAGGATCCACCTCGTGTTTCAGTTAGAGCAACAAAGGAAAACAAACTGCTCCTGTACCGCAAGTTGGCTGAATCTGGACGACTCAAACCAGTGAAGAAATCAACCGTCCTTGTGAATTTTTCATCTGGTTTGTTTGCTGTTGGAAAGGATCATTTACGAGACCGGCTGGTACTGGATGGGCGGCCAGCGAACCTGGCCGACAAGGCCCAGAAGAAATGGGCCAGGGCTATGGCTTCAGCGTCAACTCTTTCCCAACTTCATTTGCCTGCTGAATTTGATTTGTGTATTTCTGGGGAGGACCTTAGAGATTTCTTTTATCAATTTCAAGTTGGAGATGAACGTGTGCGAAGGAATGTGCTGTGTGACCCTGTCGATCTATGTGATGCTCCAGCTGTATTTGGTGACGGTTTTTCTTGGGATGAAGATCCTGTCTATGTGGGTTTATCCACGTTGGCCATGGGTGATGTCAATGCAGTTGAATTTGCGCAGAGCAGTCATCTAGGACTTTGTTTGCAGCACGGTGTTGCATTGCCACATGAACTATTGACATTAACTGGTTCTGTTCCCCGTGGTTTGTTGCAAGTTGGAATCATTGTAGATGACCTCATTGTACTTGAACAAGTTCTCAAGTCAATTAGAAGCCATGACCCTCCTTTGCCTACGCAAGCTGATGATCGAATCAACAAAGCCTTGAGCGCATATGCCAGCGTTGGCTTGGAGCATAATCCGAAGAAGGAGTTCAAAAATGAAACCTGCGCTCGCTTCTGGGGGCTTGAAGTTGACGGCGAAAAAGGTTTGCTGCGGGCTTCAACACTCCGTTTGTGGCCTTTGTGTTTGATCACTATGAGGGTAGTCAGACTGGGTCTAGCAACAGTGAGCCTTCTGGAATCACTTGCTGGCAGTTGGGTTTCCATTTATGGGGTCAGACGGAAACTTTTTTGCATTCTCAACCTCATTTTTGAACCATTGGGAATACCCGATCAGAAAAAAGTGCTGCGACTTTCTCCTGAGCTGATCTCAGAACTGTGTTGCCTGGTCATTATGGGAACCCTTTGTGTAGTTAACCTACGAGCTGGCTTCTTCGATCATGTGGTGGCGACAGATGCATCTGAAAAATGGATGGCGGGGGTGTCTGCTCCCTGCCCATGTAATGTGGTGCAGGAACTGGCAAGGTTTTCTCTGCGCAAAGCTGTATGGACAAAGTTGCTGTCACCATTGCAGGCTAGAGACAGGGTTGCTGGCATTTTGGACCCGGCTGATGAATTACCTGATGAACATTATGATACTCATCCTTTGTGGGTTCTGATGGCAAGAGCTTTAAGGTACAAAGAAAGCTGGCGTGAGCAAGTTCGCAGATATACTCACATTAATGTGTTGGAGCTGCGAGCTCACCTGCGTCATGAGCGCAGACTGGCTGCATCTCGAAAATCTTTGCGCGTGCTATATGGCCTTGACTCGCAGGTTTCATTAGGGTGCCTCATCAAGGGCAGAAGTTCGTCATGCAGCTTGAACAATGAGATGCAAAAGAACATGTGTCATGCAGTTGCCAGCGATTTATATGACATGTACATGTACTTTCCCAGCGCTGATAATCCAGCTGATGGACCCTCTAGAGAATCTGATGTTCCTCTTCCTTCAGAACCTTTGCCTTTTTGGTGGCATAGCTTAGCTGAAGGACAAGCAGCCTTGTTTGATGAGTGGATGACTTCTTTGAATTTGGATACCTTTCTTGGTGGCGTTGATTTTTCCGAATTGTACAGTTGCGAAGATGTTGATTTGACGACGGGCGCTTTCGAGAAGAGAGTGAATTTTTTGAAGAGATGCAGACATCCTTTGTCTGCAAAGAAATCGCATAAAAATGCACTGCACGAGAATACCATGAACATGCTGCACCCAGAGCTTGCTCATAGGGAAGTTTCCATTGATCAGAATTGCACGATCCATGCTGAGGCATGTGAGATTTTGTTGTCCTTTCGTGATGATCAGTTTTTCTTCTCTGGTGATATCAAAGTGATTACTCAACCTGGGGCTCTTGATCTTTTTTCTGGCAAATGTGGTGTAGCAAGGGCTATGGTAAAAGCAGGAGCGCCGTGGGTGCTTACATTTGATTGGGAGCGTTCTGCAAGTGAGGATTTGCTTGATTGTGAAGTTCGAATGAAACTCCTTCGCCTTATTCAGCTCGGCGCCTTCAAAAGTGTCGGTGCTGCTCCCATTTGCTCCAGCTTTTCAGTTGCTGTCACTCCGCCAGTCAGGAGTAAGAAATATCCTAGAGGAATCCCTGGCATGAGAGTCACTATGCGATGCAAAGTGCGGCAGGGCAATTCACATTCTGATTGGGTCATTGAAGTCGTTGAGCTCTGTGAGAGTGAGGGCCTAGTCTGGTGGGTTGAGAACCCTGATACATCGTTTTGGTGGCATCAGAAGCGCTGGAAGAGATTTAGGCATTCGTGGTCATCTAACCTTTTTCGTTTTTGCATGTGCAGGTTTGGGACGCCATGGCGAAAAGCGACAAGGATTGCTACTAATAGCTCTATGGCAGGACTTAGAATGTGGTGCTCTTGCACTACCCCGCATGTTCAACTCAGGGGATTCTGTGCTGCTAGAGCAAAGGCATGGACACTTATTGCTCAGCCATATCCGCGAGGCCTATGCAGACTTATTGCTACATCAGTCTGTCAGGATGTAGGATGGAGTGGCGAGTCCAGGTTCAACATATCCAGATGTGCAAAGTGTGGCCCCATGAGAATTGGGGAAGCCAAAAATCCTGGCCCTAGAAGACCCAGGATGACACAGTCGTTTTCCTTGGAAACAGTTTCAGCCCTCAGTGCGGCCACAATTGCATTGGAAGCACGGTTGCTGCGTGAATTTTTTACGTGGTTTTCACTTCGTGCTCCAGATGTTGACCCTCATACCATTTTTCATCAATTGCCTATGTATTTGCCTCAATGCCTTCGCGCGTATGGTGATTTAATGTTCCAAAGCGGAGGATCGTTATTTAATCTGAGACATGTCATCCTGGCTGCACAGAGATGGTGCCCAGTAGCCAAACCCTACATGCAACATGCTTGGGATATTGTCGAGAGATGGGAACTGCAGTGTCCAGTTGTTCATAGGGTACCGGTACCAGAGATGCTCATGAAGGCAATGTGCTCAGTTGCTTGGCACAGGCAGTGGTACACGTGGGTAGGGATCACAATCCTCTCTTTTTATGGTGCAGGAAGACTTGGTGAAGTTATTCAGTGCAAACGTTCTGATTTGGTTTTACCTGGTGATTTATGCACTGATGTAGAGGCTGTCTTTCTGCGTTTGCAGCGTTTCAAGTCTCTCCTACGCCAGCCTGCCAGAGTTCAACACATGAGGATTGCGGATAGTTATGCGGTAAAATTGCTTTCTGTTATTTTTGGTCGATTTGAGTCTGATGAATTGTTATTCCCTGGCTCTCATCATCAATATAGGAAACGTTGGGACTTGTTGCTGCAAGATTTCATGATTCCAAAGTCTGCTGGAATTACTCCTGGTGGATTGAGAGGTGGCTCAGCAGTTTTTCACTACCACTCTGGAAAACCGATTGCTGATATTCTTTGGATGATGCGGCTAAGATCCCAGACAACTCTTGAAAGCTATCTTCAAGAAGTAGCAGCTCTCAATGTGCTTGGTGCCCTTTCGTTGTCTTCGCGAGATTCGATCAAAGCTTTTGCTACCACTTTTTCTCTGCTGACTTCTTCTTTGCCGTCAGGGTCGTGACAAACGCTGGCGCCTTCGTCAGTACTGGTCCAACCTAAACCTGGACCGTTTCCTGCAAGAGTGGATCAGTGTGATCTACAATTTCTGCATGATGCTCTTCTGCTGGTGATTTCGACATGAAATGGATTTCCTATGCGTTAGCCTTTGAGGACACCATCTTCATTTCCCAGCACTTGCGTTTGATTTGCTGCAGACTCGCCCGATCTTGCTTGGGAACGGTGGTGAAAAAGACCGTTCAGCCTCTTTGCACAGCACACCAAATGGCAATGCAAACATGAGGTGCATGTTTTCATGTGAATGGTGCCAGAATCTTTGGCCACCCCCACCTCCCTGGCAGAGCCACTCCTTGGATCAGTGTGATCTACAATTTCTGCATGATGCTCTTCTGCTGGTGATTTCGACATGAAATGGATTTCCTATGCGTTAGCCTTTGAGGACACCATCTTCATTTCCCAGCACTTGCGTTTGATTTGCTGCAGACTCGCCCGATCTTGCTTGGGAACGGTGGTGAAAAAGACCGTTCAGCCTCTTTGCACAGCACACCAAATGGCAATGCAAACATATATATATTAATATTAAAACATGTATTTAATAAAAAGAACCAAACAAGAGGCTACAACTATACTTATATGATGAGCTATATTAAATCAACATTAGCATCTTAAATCACATCCATATAACCGTAGTCGCCAGGAGCACCCAATTGCCTCGCTCGCCGTGGAGCAGAGCCTCCGCTGGCTGCTGAACGTGACTGGGCTGGACGCGGAGGACGCAGCGCTGGTATCTGCGTCGGTGGAGGAGGTCAATGGCACGGAGGATGACGCTGAGAACGCAATGGACATGGAGATGTGAAGATTGGAAGATGGGGATGGTGAAAAAAAAAAATTGGACAAATGGGGTTCTAAGATAGTTTCATTTTATGAAAAATACGAGGAATTTTGATGGGGATATTTCATGGAAACTACCCACTTGAGCCATGGGTATCATGATGCAGAAACAGGATACTGCTCATCGATTCACCAGTGTCATAGTGTCATGCGCAACAAGACTGGTGGGCTTCAACCAACAATGGGGATAGCTATACGCAACAAACGAACGCAACAAGATCCAAGTGGCTCGTGCGTTTTTTTTACGAATCTATGGGAAGTTAAAAACCATTGAGTTCATTGATTCTCCCAGCTACCCTTTGGTAAACGTTTACATAACTGTGGAAAATCACCATTTGTTATGGGTAAATCAACTATTTCGACTGGGCCATTTTCAATAGCTTTTTGTATGTTTACCAGGCCGGGTAACCCATATATATATATATAAATATATCTATATAATATATATATATAATATATATATATATAATGTATATTATATATATAAACCGCATTGAAACTAGAATTTTCAATTGCCATGTTTGATTACAAAAAAGGGCGCCAGAGATTTGGGGATGCGGCTCTTGACTACCTCCATACCCATAGTCATCTATAAACTCGAATAGAAAAACACTGATATAACACCATCAATATATTTCATTATAATTAATTATATACAAAAAAATCATGATGTTGTTATCCATGATATTGTTTAAAGAACCATATTTATCATATTTAATATGTCCCCAACCTTGGTTGATTTTTGAAGCTTTCAACATGCAGCAGACATTCGTTGGGCGCTGAGGCAGCAGACATCCTCTTTGAGATTGAGTGCCTCGCCCCATGGGATCCAACGTGGAGAATGGTAACGGAAAATAGCAACGAGCATCAAATCCCTGTTTCAAGGAGGGCACCAGGTTCTTGAGACCAGGGTTTCAGCAAATTTGAGGCGCAACACATACAGGTATTCCACTACATACATTCTCACATGTGGTTTTTAAAAGGTTTTACTTTGGGGTTTCTTTAGGGTTCATTTAGGTTTCTTTAGGGATTCTTGAAAGGGTTAATTTTAGAGTTTTTCTAGGGCTTTTTCCAGGTTCATTTCTTTGTGTTTTGGGCTTTGGGCCGCAGATTCACCGCAAAGGGTTGATGACAACGACGTCTTTGGGTTTGCAAACCCAGAGCCATCTATAGCTATTATATTTTTACTGCTTGGTGGTTTGGAACCATGGAATTTTATTTTTCCATATATTGAATAATCATCCCAACTGACGAACTCATATTTTTCAGAGGGGTAGGTTGAAAACACCAACCAGTTGATACCATCCCGAATGGCTCCAGCCCTCGTTGTCTTCGGCAAGGCTTCCCACGCAGAATGCCACGACGCTGCTGGCGCAACTGGTCGAAGTCTTCGAGGAGAAGCAGCACGTCTTTGCCGTTCAGGCGGGCCATGGCTATCATGACAATATCACCAACAATCACCGGTGATTATTGTGGTTACTAACTTACTAACCATTGAATATGATACAAAATCCGAGTAGATCATGGGGTGATAATGGGGAGATCATGGGGAGATCATGTGCTCCTTTCGGTCGCATGGATAAGGGTCACCAGAGGCTCGGCCTGAGAAGTACCCCCATCAAGTCCGACTTTTTTGGAGCCCAGGAAACGCTATGGTTGGAGGGGCTTACTATTGGTGGATACCCTTAAGTTTCCATGTCCGGGGTGTCATTCCATACGATTTTTTTTACCATACCAATCATTGTGGGAAAGAATCTCATGGGCAAACAATGACTGGCTCCAGTTGCAATCACCAAACCGATACATCGCCATGAAAAATCAGACAGTTCCTAACTCGTGTAGCATTCTATGGACAAGTATGCATGAATACGTACATGTAGAATCATGTATATAAATGTATAGAAAATTACAAAAATATCTACAGGAATTTCCCCCAGTTCCCATTTATACATGTTAAGATGATGTAATATCCACATGTTTTGCATATTCATATAAAGTTGTACAAACATCATGGATGATCAGTGGCGGAATATTGTGGATGGGTCAAAATTTAAGATTCAGGGGACCACAGATTTTAGTCTATTTTTTGTATTAGCTATCAATTTTTGACCACTGGACCCATATGAGTAATATCACTGTATGTAACACTGTTGATAGGGATTTTCCATGAAATAAACCATCCAGCGATAAAGGGGTAGCTCCATTTTAAGAAATCCCCGTATACAACCTACGTTAGATCACGGATGAACATCTCGACCCATGCAGAGGCAGCTCTTCGCAACACGGGCGTCGACTCCTTGCGCTTTGGCATAGCTGGCTGGAGATGATAACGATGGTGGTGCCAGGGGGGATGAACAAAATGGTGTTTTTTCATGGGATTTTAACGACCAAAAAAGAGGATTTCATAGGAGTTTTCATGTGATTTGACCTATTGAGCAATGTTCAAAAGCCCTGTTGGTTGATAGGAGGTTATACGGACGGTTATACGGTTATACTACCCTGGTAGATTTACAAAGCTGTTGTTTGTAAACCAATGGTAGACTATCACTAAAATTGAACCTGTGAACTGTCGAACATATGTAGGATTCAACACCAATTGGTACATAATAACCACCACAGATCATGCGGTTCTTGATAATAATTGGTACGGGTTGACCAGCGGTTGTGTTAGGATTTTAGCCAACACAATGTGCGACAACGAGGATATAAACCCATGAATGATGTGACAAGATGGCGATCCAAACAAGAATAGAGGTTTAACTACCCATCATGGGATCTCATTGATGTTTATGCGTTACATGCTGGTTGGTGGATGCTTCATCGTAGGTTTATACTACCTGGTTAAAAACCAATTATTGTAACCGAATTGAGTAATTAATTACCATCATGATCTAACCAGGGGGGAATAAAGCGGGTGACTTGGGCAATGGTGTCGCTGGGATCCAAATCTGGAAATTTGGAATCTATGAATCTGCGTACCCTTCAACGGAGGCTTCTTTTCAGAAACGCGCACGAATCTTACCAAACGACTCATAATCACCTATATATCCCATTAACTATAGATATCCCATGGATAAGTCCTCTTATATTTTCTCCCACTATTTGATGGGCAAAGAACCCGTGTCGGAAATTGACCAAGTCGTTGGTGTTTTTTTCGTGGCGCCGACTTCCTGGTTGAATCGTTGTGCTCTTTTTTCGGAATTCGCGTCGTAGGAGAAGAATGAACTGACTGTTAAGCCAGTGCTAACAAGAAATCAATTAGCTTTGGGGTATCCAATTTATTGATAATTGATTTACCAATAACCAAACTTTTGGGGTATCCAATTGCCAACAATATTCATAATCCATGCCGCAAAAGTTTGGATTAAATGGGGGACCGTGAGCATTTTTCACCATGGCACGACATCTCCCAGGCCATCAATGGCCATCTTTTCCAGGGCTCCAATGTATGATTTATAGCTGATTATCCCATGATTTATAGCGGGATAACCATCAATTAATGGGATATTAACTATATATTGGGATATTAACCATCTATATCTATCATTATATACATGGGATAATTGGGATAACCATCAATATATAGTTAATATCCCATTGATAGTTAACCGTTAATCCATCAAATATTTCGTTAACTAGTCGGATTATCCTATTGATGGTTATCCCATGTTTTTTTTCGAGGACTTATCCATGGGATATCTAGAGTTTTCATGGGATAACCATCGATGGAGATTAATGACTTGTAGATGATTGTCACATTCAAAACCCAAAAAATAAACATAGCCCCTGGTAATTTGTTACAGTTCGCTATTGAAAATACCACATAGAAATAGTTGATTTACCTCTTCAAAATGGTGATTTTCCAGTTCGCTATGTAAACGTTTACCAGCGGGTATCCAAAAAATGATCAATCCATTTCACATTTCTAAACCATATAAAACCATCATTTTCAGATTTTTTGTGCCCTTTATACATGCCTATCTAAACCTGTATTTTTCTCCAATCAACATTAATTCAGCGCATTGTCGATGGTAAAGTTTCCGGTTAAGTTCCTCTGATGTTCGACGACACAAATTCCCATGGACAAAACTCTGAGAGTATTTTGAGATGACAAAAACCCATCATTTTGAGTCAAAATATGTTAGATTGGATGATATGTTCATGAAACATTAGATAGATCAAGTTTGATCGAAAAAAATCAAATGTTTTTTATTTCCGATCCAAACTCGATTATTGGGATGATGTTGAATCAATATCTCATTTTCAGATGATCTCTTTAAATATATATATATATATCATATATTCATTAAAATTAGATAAGCTGTGATAAACTCGGATTATTGGGATGATTTCAGATTAGATAAACTATGATCAACTTAAGGATTTATAGATGGATTAATATCAATATATTACAAACTGACAAGCTGATGATTTTTCCTCCCATCAATCGCTTCCAAGGTGGAACGCCAGCATTTTGGAGTTCTTCGTCAACTTCAGCGTCGAGGACGAGAATTTGACCGCAGACCTGGCCTACGTGGTGCCGCCGCAGATTTTTGCACAAGGCGATTTCGTTGGCTTCGAAATCGGCGAAAAACATGTGGGTGGAAGAAGAATTACTATAGTTATCTATAGTGACATAAGAATTACTATAGATATTCCATGATATTCCCATTAATATGGGTAAAACAATCATAAAGAATCCCCCAAATCACCATTCCCAAATGGGTGGTTTACAAGAATTACTATAGTTAATTACTACTAACAAAATGATAAAATGGGGGTGGAGAAGGACAACATATTGTTAATTGGTACCCATTGGTCATTTGGTATTCGATTATATTGATAGAAACTATTATGGGATTGCAATAGGAAGTTACTTGTCATCTTCCACTTGCTGGGTGAAGCAAGAATAGTAGTGGTAAGAGTAATGGGACTTCATGATTGATGGTGGACATGACAATCAAAATGTGGATTTAACGGTAGAAATCCAAGTACAAATGGTGATTTAACCATCCAAAAAAACACATCTGGTTATTTAACAGTTTACTATAGACAAAAAAAGGCAAATATAGGCAAATCACCCATCAATATTCAATTGTCCAATTGTCCATAGCTGTGGTTTGATTTGGACGTCACCAATAAGGGCTTCTTAACCACCAATAACCACTGACAGAGGCTAATTGACTAGCCATCATTGGGGACCTTTAATAAGTGCGGGATTTTAATAAGGAAACATTCAGATTGCACCAGCAAAAAGGAGTATGTAGCCAAGAAATTGGCACTTAGAAACTTTGTATGAATCAATTTATGGCTCTGTATGGTGTAAACATCAAACATGGCGAATTAACTATATGTGTCATTGGTCAATCTGGTGTGAAAACTGTGTTTTCACCAGGAGATTTTGGGGATTTAACCAGCAAGAATGGGCATTTGAACCGGTGATTTCTTGGTTTTGTCATGGGGGAGAACAGCATCAAGAATGGGACTTACTCGGCCTGGTAAACATACAAAAAGCTATTGAAAATGGACCATTTATAGGTAATTTAACATGGATAATCTATGGTTAAATTTATGGATAATCTATATGGTTAATGGTTAATAGTTAATTATACTGGTAATTTATCTAACATAGCTATTGAACATGGCCAGTTCGAAATAGTTGATTTTCCCAGCTATAAATGGTGGATGTTTCCATAGTTATGTAAACGTTTACCAGAGGGTAACCTTGGAAATGCCTATGCTTTGGGCGGAACGGTGTCAGGTTTTTTTACCATCGAAGAAAGGAGATGCAGTCCCATCGGGTAAGCCATGAACACATCGGAGAGTTCACCCGCTTTTTATTTGGGGGAACTTTTCACGAATCAAGATTTTTTCGCCACTGAAGAACAAGGCCAGAAATGGTGCAGGATTTTTTTGTTCTACCATCTGGTTATTTAACATAGCCATGGAAAATCCCTTATAAATGGAGGTTTTAATGGGAAAATCCTCTATAAATGGGCCATTTTCCATGGCTATGTTAAATAACCAGAGGGCAATTTTGCACCTTAAATTTTGGTGGGATATGGCCAGCAGAAATGGGATATCATCACTTTAAAAATTGCCGCCTGGACCGCCACTGATATGGGATCCACTTTTCGCATGGGACCATTCTGAGCATTTTTTGATCAGTGCTTGGGTATATATGGGGATATATAGCTTAAATATAGGATTATATAAATAATGAGAAAAACATAAAAATGGAAATTATTGAGCAGTTGTCATCTTAATTGTCTGGAGATCATTTGCCAGTACTATGGCCTATTTTTTGGCACTGTTTCCCAAAATCATGAGGGTAATCATGGGTCAATATTGGGGTAATCACTATTTTTCTCGGTCTTGTTGACCAGTGTCGACCGTGTTTGACACAAAAAAATCTGGGGTGATGTTGGGGGATTTCGCACATGTCAGGATTGAAGGACTGAGAAAACAGATGATCTATACATGATGATACCCTGGTTGGTGGTTTCAATCATGGCTTTTATTTTCCATTTCATATATGGTACGTCATCCCAACCCCATTGACGAAGTCCATCATTTTTCAAGATGGTTAAAACATGTTAAAACCACCAACTAGTACCTCATGTATCATGGATAAGGGCTATAAAAACGCACCTTACTTTAAGGGTTTTCCTAACGGAAGATGATGGGATTTTCCGAAGCGAATTAGCTGGGTGCCTGGAAATGGACGACACCAAAATAACATTGTAAATCCATACGAAAACATGTTGACTAAGATTACTATGTGATTATGTGACTAATTATTGTGAACATTATTATAATTTTATGTGACTATGTGTTCCATTCTTCTTCTTATTAATATTATCACTATTATTATGCTAATCATTTTATGCGAAAAATATGTTTTGGTGATTTTGGGGTGGCCTGTATCAGCTGCAAACATGGGAGGTTTCCAAGCCATGAACATCACCGGTATTTTACAGCCATGGACATGATGAGCACGCAGTAGTGTCGTGACCAATTTTTGGATAGTTTTGAATGAAGATGTATCATCTTTCAGATGATTCATCCCCAGCATGATGAAGTCGGATTTATATCCAACTATAACTTTCATCCCAGTTTATATTCCCTAACATTTGGGTGCATATCTCTGACATTTGATTGAATATCGACTATAATTAACACATCCAACTATAACTAATTTGGCTTCATATCCCTAACAGTTGGGTGACCTTCAATTCGGATATTTACGAACGGTCCGAACGCGCAGCTGCTCCGTTGGAAGAGCTTCCGGCGGAGTATCTGACGCTGATCATTGCGGCGTCGGTGTGCCTTGGTTGCCTTGGTTGCCCAGAGGTCCTGTGGTGGGATTGGACGGAAAATCACCAAAATCGACCAAGATGGTAATGGTGGTTTAATTCGGATTTAATGGGATTTAATTAATGGAATTCAATGGGAATTAATGGGAATATACCCTCTGGTAAACTCACATAACTATGGATAATCTATGGTTAATGGTCTATGATATTTACTGGAGGGTAGTATATGGTTAATACATGGTTCATATATGGTTAATATATGGTTTATATATATCAATATATCTGGGTAAATTTCATCACGACCTCACTGTTCTCCCGAACCCTGGAAATCATGGTTAGATTGCGGGAAATCATCCCCAAATGGCCGAACTATTCAGGTTAGTGAAATACTAAAATTTACCCAGCAATATGGTTAGCCCCCGAAATTTAGCGAAGAACCCTGCCGGAGGCTGGAAGATTACGTCTCACTCAAAATGCTGTGTTTTCAGGGTCTATGACATTCACTGGAGGGTAGCATACGGTGAATACATGGTCCATATATGGTTGATATATCAATATATGGTTCATATATGGTAAATTAGGCCAGATGTAATGGTGTAGATATCGTGGGATGGGTAAGCAGCAATATGATATTTAGGCAGTTTTTGCTGGACTATCGTGTTTGGCCGGTATTGAATCTCGTGTTTGGTAAGTTATACCTTGTTCAAATCACTCGCGTTGGCCGATTTTATACAATCACATGTGTGCCAGTGCCAAGACCCTGGTTAGCCAGCAAACCCCTGAACCACAGGAGAATCATTACTTGAAGTGATAGCAAAGTGATGTGTGCCGGAAGGGAAAGTGAAACATACCTTCCGGCAATGAAACTTGGCAATGGAAAATGACCCGTTTATTGCTGATTTTCCCATTACCCTCTGGTTATTTAACATAGCCATGGGAAATGGCCCATTTATAGATCGTTTACCTATTAGAAATTGTGATTTTCCATGGCTATGTCAAATAACCAGATGGTAAACCTCCATTTAGTTCTGGGATTTCTTGCCACGATTGATTACTGGAGGTAGGCTGCGGCCAGTCGGTGGGCAGTCCAGTGGAGGGTATTTTAGCCTTTTCAGTCAACTCCTAAAGCAGCTGAAAATGGAGATTTCCCATTGCCATGTTAGATTATTGGAGGCATTTTTTGACTAGTTAGCTAAGTTGGTAAACGCAATTCCAATTTCACTTGGGTTTTTGGTATATCGAACTAGTGAATCGGGGATTGTAGGCCAACAATCCCATCGCCCTAATATTAAACACCCCCAAAAATGTGTAAATTCACAACCCCAAACTCCAAAACCCATACTTTCTGGGTGTTTAGAAAAAAGCTTCCCCTTTCTCCCTGCCGAGGATTGTATGTCTTTGTTGTACAGTGGCCATTTATATCGTCAGGCAGTGTGGTGAACAGAGATTTCCGGCAGGAGGATTTTGGGTGGTTATCCCATCAAGTAATGGAAATTATATGGGCTGGTGGGTAGTTTCAATCATGGCTTTTATTTTCCATTTCATATATGGGATGTCATCCCAACCCCATTGACGAACTCCATCATTTTTCAAGATGGTTATTGCACCACCAACCAGCGGGAATATCATAGGATATTTGTTGTTTGGTTGGGGTCAAACGGTTTCCAAGAATGTTGATTTATTTTTGGATATACAAATGGTGATTTATTCAGGATATACACATTATATATATACTATTTTAGTGGGAATGCACATATATATATAATTATATACTGTAATATATGTATAATTATATTATATATATAATTATATGATACATATATATATATATATAATTTTAATATATATATATATAATTATATAATTATATTTATTTAATATATATATGTGATTATTCAACATATATAATTGTAATATATATATATTTATATTTAATATATATTTATATTTAATATATATATATATTTAATATATATATATAATTATAATTACTATATATATATATCATATAACCAACAACTAGCGTTACCCCCAGTACTCAAACGTGGCTGGCTCTGAAATTCTCTATAAATCGAGGTTTATGCCTGGGAAATCATCGATTTAAATGGATTTTCTTGTGCTTCGTTTGATTACCGGAGGGTAGTATCTAGAACATGCTTGCGTCCCAGGGTCCAGTTGATGCATGGGGGATAGCCTGACAAGTACCCTCTGGTAAACTAACATGGCTATTGAAAATGGCCATTTATAGAGGATTTACCCATTAAAAATGGTGATTTTCCATAGCTATGTAAACGTTTACCAGAGGGTAGGTCAGGTTTTCAGAACATTTTCAATGACCAACTATGAATCACCAACCCAAATGCCTGAGTAATGATTAACTATCTGGATCTGGCCCATATGCAAAGCGCTCAGAATCAACCCACATTCAGAATCAGTCTTCATCATCAAGCAGACTTTCGGGGCCAACGGGCCGGGTATCAACCAATTTCAGTTCCTGATGATTTTTGATAAACTCAACATAATGGTTATGAATCAGGAACCATGACAATAACGGTTTGACATGGTTTGACATGGGTTTCTCATAATGGTATCAACCAATTCCTGATATTCTTCTTTTGACATGTTCTGACATGTTCTTAGTCAAGGGATTGGATTGATTGGATTTCCTCCTATCATGTCCCCATAAACTTGATGGTGAACTTCCCAGGTTGGCTAGTAACCCCCAACTGCAGAGGGTTGAATACCATAAGTACATATATATATATATATATACATATGCCCCATTGTATTCCCACTCATCTCAACACATTTTCTTGGTTTAGCCACCTTTCATTTATGGCAACAACCAGCATTTTTTGTGGTTTCATTTGCATGGGCCAGCTGAAAAAAAAATCCACGTCTTAGATCATTGCTGATTAAATCCCTAGTGTGTCCACATGATGAGGCTATTGTATATGGCCATCAACCCTATTTCTCACACACACACATATATATACTATATATATATGCCGTATATTTTTACATACATTGTATATACATAATATATATATATATATATGTGTGTATAGTGCATATGCGTGTATATATATATATAGCTGACTTCCCCAAACAAATGTGTGCATGTGCATACGTATTTGCACTCCACACAGTTAATTTCACCCATGAAATGATATAAATTCTCACTTGCTCCCATCGATGCACATTTGGTACAGAAGTTACACAAGTACGTATTCTTATCACGGTTTTAATCATAACCGCATTTTCATCATCGTTTGTTTTATATCAATTTCATGTATATGCTTAATATGGTACATGTATATGTATGTATATACTGCATATACATATACAGTAGTTTTATTGTTATCAATGTTTTATTCTGTTCATCGTGTTTGATGCCATCATTGTCATTATCATTGTTGTTATCATGCTTATTTTAGTGTGTGTTTTTTTGGTTGTGGTTGTGGTTGTGGTTGTGGTTGTGGTTGTTGTTGTTGTTGTTGGTGCTGGTGTTGGTGTTGTTGGTGTTGTTGTTGTTGGTTGTTGTCTGTCTGTATGTCTGTCTGTCTGTCTGTCTGTCTGCCTGCCTGCCTGCCTGCCTGCCTGCCTGGCTGTGTGTTTGTGTGTTTGTTTACTTGTTTGGTTGGTTGTTTGTGTGTTTGTTTGTTTGTTTGCTTGCTTGTTTGTTTGTTTGTTTGTTTGTTTGGTTGGTTTTGTTTGGTTTTGTTTGTTTGTTTGTTTGTTTGTTTGGTTGTTTGTTTGGTTGTTTGTTTTGTGTTGTCTTGCTTTGTTTTGTTTTGTTTTGTTTGTTTGTTTGTTTGTTTGTTTATTTGTTTGTTTGTTTGTTTGGTTTTGTTTGTTTGTTTTGTTTTGTTTTGTTTTTTTGTTTTTTTGTTTGTTTGTTTGTTTGTGTTGTTGTTGTTCTTCTTCTTGCTATCATCACGAACCCCAGACATTAGCATCTTGCCCAGTCATGACATCTGCCAGGTATTTCGGCGGTTTCTCGGCCAAAGAAGAACCGGAGGTAGAGGTTCCGGTCAGCTCCAGCTCGGCAGTCCCAGACATGGACAGGAATGGGCGGTGGTGGCTTTTTGTGCCCCAGAAATGATGAAAACATGTGATAAAATGTGGAATATCTTTGGAAAATATGGAGAGAACCATCAAAACATGTTGAAAGAATTGGTTTGGACCATCAAGACATACGCAAAAAAAAGAGGGGAAATCTGGAAAACTTCCATGGATAGGGCTGAGCCAGCCAAAACATATATATATATATATTTTTAGAGTTGACGCTCTCCGCATCAGTTGGCCCTTTATTTCGCGTAGGCCAGTTGCCATCTCATCACAGGTCAGAGCATAGTGAAGAAATTGCATCGTTTTTCGGCGCCAGCACATCTATGATGTATACAAGTAGAACCCGCGCAAGGCGGGTGGCAGAAGTTTCCAGGTTTAAGAAGTGTAACGCTATAGTATAGGATCCAAAGACAAGGTTTGCCCATAGGAGATGCAGCGGATCCTCACAGCTTCTCAACTGTTCTGTGAATTCGTCGTCACTTTGCCTCAGCCCTTTTCAATTGTGACCATCACTTCTCAACTCTTCTCAGACCATCTCAGCTCTTCTCAATTTTCGCAACTCTTTTCAACAGCTTTCAAAGTTGGTTCATCTCTTCCCACCTCAGCTCAACTCTTTTCACCTCTTCCATGCTCTTCTCAACTCTTCTCAACGACTCTCAACTCTGCCCACCTCGTTTTAACTCTTCTCAACTCTTCTCACCTCTTGCCACCTCTTCAACTCTTCCCACCTCTTCTCACCTCCGCTCAACTCATCTCACCTCTTTCACAGCTCATCTCAACTCTTCTCACCTTCTCAACTCTGGCCAACTCTTCTCAACCCGATGCTTACACACAGAGCAAGCTTTTACACGGAGAAGCATTTACACACAGCAAGCTCTTACACAGAGAAGCTCTTACAGACAGAAGCCTTTACGCACAGCAAGCTTTTACACACAGCAAGCTTTTGCTCAGAGAAGCTTTACACAGAGAAGCTTTTACACAGAGAATGTAAAAGCAAGCTTTTGCACACAGCATTTTTTTTCACAGAGAAGCTTCACATTAAGCCCTTGCACAAAGAGAAGCTTTTACACAGAGAAGATTTTACACAGAGTAAGCTTTTTCACAGCGCAAGCATTTGCACAGAGAAGCTCTTACACAGAGAAGCTTTTACACAAAGCAAGCTTTTACACACAGCAAGCAAACACAGCAAGCTTTTGCACAGGGAAGCTTTTGCACAGAGAAGCCCTTTCACAGAAAAGCTTTTACACAAAGCAAGCTCTTACACAGAGAAGCTTTTGCACCGAGAAGCTTTTAGCTTTTACACAGAGAAGCTTTTACACAAAGCAAGCTTTTACACGGAGAAGCTTTTGCACACAGCAAGCTTTTACAAAGAGGAACTTTTACACAAAGCAAGCTTTTGCACAGAGAAGCTTTTACACACAGCAAGCTTTTACACAGAGAAGCTTTTACACAAAGCAAGCTTTTGCACAGAGAATTTTTTTCACAGCAAGCTTTTACACAGAGAAGCTGCTAATTACACAGGATGCACCAAAATTAAACATATCTGCTGCCAAAGCACCATTCGCAACCTTCATGCAGCCATTACATTTTACAATTTACGGTTCTCAGCTGCAAGAAACAATAGTATTCCGCACGCACCCGCAGCAGCGAGAAACCTTGACGCAGCCATTCCACTGCGATCTGCAGAGACTGAGTTGCCAAGCGCAATAGAATTGCAACACAAAACTGTAGAACGCATTGCTTTGATGCACCAGTCCAATGCACAAAGTGTCTCAACACATGCAAAACACAATAGCACAGCAGCAACAAAGAAGAGAAAAAGTCGCCTGCAACACTCAGTTCCACTGCGAGCGCATTTCGAGCAAGATTCCACGGCAAAGCGACGGCGCCCGAGACCGTCGCGCGCGCGAGCCTACTTTTCTCCGCAACAGAACCTCCGTGCACCCGGAAAAACACAATGTTTCGTGCAAATCCTAACATTCAAATCGCATCCATGATGTGGCAGTTCCAATGCGATCTGCCAAGAATGACTTGCAACACACAATAATCCCTTCCTCCTAATACTAAACCCCCCCCCCAATACAAAACACGGCAGGTAGTTTTTAGTATTAGGGGGGTATTTATTATTAGGGAACCAAATCGAAGTCACGTTAATTAATTAATTAAATTTCCTTATATAACGCAATTAAAATATTGCCAAAAATGGCAGTTCGAAGCTTACCTAATACTAAATTAAAACCCTTAATACTAAAAACTATTTTTCCGATCTCAAAATCAATTTAATTTCCTTATATAACGCAATTAAAATATTGCCAAAAATGGCAGTTCGAAGCTTACCCCTAATACTAAATTAAAACCCTTAATACTAAAAACTATTTTTTCCGATCTCAAAATCAATTAAATTTCCTTATATAACGCAATTAAAATATTGCCAAAAATGGCAGTTCGAAGCTTACCCCTAATACTAAATTAAAACCCTTAATACTAAAAACTATTTTTTCCGATCTCAAAATCAATTAAATTTCCTTATATAACGCAATTAAAATATTGCCAAAAATGGCAGTTCGAAGCTTACCCCTAATACTAAATTAAAACCCTTAATACTAAAAACTATTTTTTCCGATCTCAAAATCAATTAAATTTCCTTATATAACGCAATTAAAATATTGCCAAAAATGGCAGTTCGAAGCTTACCCCTAATACTAAATTAAAACCCTTAATACTAAAAACTATTTTTTCCGATCTCAAAATCAATTAAATTTCCTTATATAACGCAATTAAAATATTGCCAAAAATGGCAGTTCGAAGCTTACCCCTAATTGCTAGAGTAGCCAGGCAGCTTGGAGTGAGGGATTGGGACTAGGCCCCCCTAATACTAAACACCCCGGGGTGAACTAGTTTTTAGTATTAGGGGGGAGAACCCACAAATGGTAGGTTGATTTTTAAATTGTTGTTTAAAGGGGATCAATTAAAAGTCAAATTGGCCAAACTGAAATTTTCGGAAATTGGAGATGGATGCCTGTTTTTAGTATTAGGGGGACGTTTAGTATTAGGAGGAAGGGATTACAATCGCAAGACGCTACTCAAGCAGCCATTCCACTGCGATCTGCAGAGACTGAGTTGCCAAACGCAATAGAATTGCAAGACGCTGCTGTAAACCACATCGCTGTGATGCACCAGTTCCATTGCACAAAGTGTCTCAACAGATGCAAAACAAAATAGCACAGCAGCAACAAAGAAGAGAAAGAGTCACCTGGAACCATCAGTTCCACTGCGAGCGCATTTCGAGCAAGATTCCACGGCAAAGCGACGACACCCTAGACCGTCGCGCGCGCGAGCCTACTTTCCTCCGCAACGGAACCTCCGTGTACCCGAAAAAACACAATGTTTCCTGCAACTCCCAACATGCAAATCGCATCCATGATGTAGCAGTTCCAATGCGATCTGCCAAGAATGACTTGCAAAACACAATACAATCGCAAGACACTACTGGAGACCAAGTACCTTTCTGGGCTAGCGAGAAGGTGACGTCATGATCTCCTAAGGCACATGCCAACTGGACACAATGATCTCTGGGCTAGTGAGAATGTGACTTCATGATATCTTAAGGCACATGCCAACTGGACACAATGATCTCTGGGCTAGTGTGAGAATGTGACTTCATGATCGCTTAAGGCATGTGCCAACTGGACACAATGATCTTTGGACGAGTGAGAATAAAACCATCCGTAACTCGGAGTTTCCTCCGTGAAACTTCCTTTGAAAATTTACTTAACGATAAAGAAATTTTGGTGTAATTTAATCATGATTTTGGTATTTTGCCAATTTGATGATGTAATCTGAATTTCACTTAAATCAAGTTTGAGAATTGGGAAAGAGACAACATGCTGCAGTTTACACCCTTTTGCCGTGTCAGTTAGTTGCAAAAAAACCGTGCAAAATCTACCCCGTAGTTCAAAAGAATTGGCTCCACAGTGATCCGGGCTTAACTAAAGTAGAACGACGTCACCACAACATCACTAGGGCTGATGGTCACTGGAAATAATTCCTTAAATGATCTTCCTTCAGCGTGGTGAATTGTTGCAATTAAAATCCAGGTATTCTCATTGGATTGGCAGGAAAATCTACAGTAGAACCATAAAATATGTGGTGACAGAACAAAAAACATGATTTGGTGGGGAAAACCAGCCAGTTTCCCGTAGATTTTCCCTTAAACCAACCCATTGATATTGTGTTCCTCGACTTCCCGCTATGGTTTCCTTGTTAACATGGCCATAGCTTGGGTGGTGTTCCATTGACACATCCAAATATCCTAATGTCGATGTGTATCCCATTACAACCTATTGTATAATAATGTATAATATGTATATATATATATACATACACAAGCAATATATACATATATATATATGTGTGTGTATTGTATTCCATTATAACCCGCTATATCTCCTACATCCCTTGTATCCGCTATCCCTTATGTCCCCGTTTTGTACCCTTGTGCTGAGGTGCTGGCGTGATGCCAGATGGAAAGGTGGGAGAATTTTGCGCCGCAACAGACCATGGAGAGTAAACTAAAATTGCAGGGTCAGACATTGGTAAATTGCCAATAATCAAACCCATTAATTTGTGGTACACCCACTAATGTTGGTCATTTTCATTTTAGTATTTCTGTGGTAACTCATCCTTAATATTGCCATCCTCAATATTGCCATGAATGGGCGCTACAAAACATCCAATATTGGAGGTGTATTATTAGGGTTCCCACATTAGTTGGTTGCTTACACAATCATTCACATATGTATTTTTAAACCTGAAACATTTTTGCCTGAAATTGAAAGTGCCGTATTTGTACGTGTTTCAGGTTTTCAACACATAAACAAAAATTACACAAAATGATGTGATGATCAATCCAAAATTTGTGGTGAATTGTCATGATTTTATTTCTGCTGACATTTTGGAACTGTTGCTACGATCCCAACATGACCCGAGATCGGTCACTTTTGAACTTGGATGGCGAGAACTTGATGGGCAAATCTCCCAAAACGGTAGAAACGAATGATGGTTGGATGGTTATTGCTGACCCCCCTAAGTTTTTCCAGTTTTTTCCATGGCTCCCAACAAAATCCTGGTTTTCCAACTTATGATACTTCTGTCATCTATTCATTTTGGGTCCCTGCTTTGGGGTATCTAACATCGGCTGGCAGGATTGCCAGGAAAAAACCATGGGAGGGTGAGCCAAACATGGGAGAGTTGACAAAAACATCAATATAATCAATACTAGCTGATTGGTGGTTTGGAACATTACTTTCATTTTTCCATATATGGGGAAGAATCATCCCAACTGACTTTCATATTTTTCAGAGGGGTTGAAACCACCAACCAGCTAGCCAGTGCTGAAATTTTGAAGACCCAGAAAATTGCTCAATAAACAACATTATCTTGCATTCAACATCATTGTTTTGGTGCCAAAATTCCGCGCTCCAGACATGCCATACTCCTAGCGATCTGAAAATGACCAGACCAAACGCACAAATATGTGTTAATACTGGTGGGATCATAACAAATGGTTTCAAGGCACGTACTTTGAATATCTTTGAATCTGGTTTTTGGATTTGGTTGTTGATACACAACATGATACATATTATAGATCATGGATACGATATCATTTTACTATGGATGATTTTATGATTGTACAATCGGGGGAATTTTCTTTCTCTTCGATGTGGACAATAATTTTTCCTATCTTTTCCATAGAGATATTAACGATGCCTCATCGTCAGATATCAATACAGCAACTGTTCAATATAATATGATTATACCTGTTGTAAATCATATTATCATTGTAGATAATAACTATTAGATATCCATAATAATGCCAAAAACCCAATAATGAACCAACCCATTTATCAACCATTTGAGGGTCATTTTATATCATCCCACTCATAGAGGTACGGTATACCCAATAATAACTCCAATTTGGGATAGTTTGTTATTGGGCCTACCACATTCCTTAGATAACAACTGCTAAATACTTAGCTTAATACAGCTCTTGAATATTTCCATAAGTTGTATCAAACTCAAGTAGATGGTTTTTCCAAGAAAACTCCAAAAACAGTATAGTATATATGGATATATTATGATATATTACTTTGGTAAATTCACACAGACCCTGAAAATTTTAGTGGAAACGAATCTTCCAACCCATATCTGGCAGGGTCGTCATGATAATTTAGCAGAGGGTATAGGATAACATGTTAGAATTATATTTCATGATATATACATGTATATATATAAATGAATGACCATGATGGTAATATTCTAAACCATCAATTGCTATAAATTATTGCAAACCAACATTATAGGATAATAGATCGTAACAGATGCTTACTAATATATGGTATATGATATATTATGATGGTTGGTGGTTTGGAACATGAATTTTATGACTTTCCATATATTGGGAATGTCATCATCCCAACTGACGAACTCATATTTTTCAGAGGGTTGTTTTACCACCAACCAGATTTGGTTTTTACCTGGTTTTTATCTCATAGCCCAGATTATTTTTAGGTTTACCAGGTTAGTGAATTATTATTGCAATTTGCCCAGATATATAGTTTACCATATAAATATATATATATATTACTAATGATTGTTTACCATATCTTGGTTAGGGGTTATCAATTGGCCCGCCGTTGGCCCGTGCCAGGCGGTCATCTCAGGTGGAAGTTGGGGAGCCGTTCCGAGGGGAAGGAAAGCTGCGAGGAAAAACCAAGGAACATGTAGAAAACTAAGGACTAAGGAAGAAAATTAAGGAACACCTGGAAAACCTGGAACAAGAACCAAGGAAAACCTGAGCAAAAACCAAGAACAAACGGTATGTTTAATGATTTTAACATATTTTAACTATTAAATAACTGACTTTAAGTAACAACATATAGTGACCATCAACGAAAAATAGGGATTTAACCAACAAACACAGCGGTGTAATATGGGAGTTAATGGGGGTATGATATATATAAGCAGAATCGGGAATATCTGAATTAGATTTGACAAATAATTTCAAATGAATAGAGACAACCGGGTTCTAAATTCCAAATCTTGGGTTGAACATAGACCAGGCTTACTTTTCAAAATCATCTCACTAAGATGTTGGGTATTTATAAAGGGGATATATGTCACCAAGGTTTTTTCACCAACTATATTGAGATGTTTTGTGCGAAATATTTTGTTTGACTGGGGTGATAGGTATCATAAGTAACAATGATCAACTTGTAGTGTAAAGATATTCAATGTGTCCAATGTGATAAAATGGTTGTTTGTATGACTTACACTCTGGTAAATACCAACAGTTCGCTATTGAAGCCATGGCCCATTTAGATCGTTGGTATTTACCTATTAAAAATGGTGATTTTTTTCACAGCAAAAACCCACGAGTTGGAGGATTCAGAATCCCTGGATGTGCAGCCGCAGGACTCCTGAGACCGAAAACCACAAATTGCGAATAGAAAATCTGCCAAGCCAAAGCAAAAAATGTCGCAAACCACCATAAACCATCCCCCAAACCATAAATGGATGGAATTTTTATGTCATCCCTGAATGGTAGTGAACCCCGCATTATCAAATCATTATCATCCATTGTCCCCCAACAAAATTATTGGTCAACTCCACATCATATGCCTATGATACATAACTGGATGGAAATCATACCAGAGATTCCACTCGAAGTTCAACTTGTAACAGCAGATCAACAAACCGACAAACCATTGATTCATTTAAAAGCTCTAGTCCTGTGTCCAACCATAATATCACACAATGACACATGTTTTTTCGGATTTGAAGAATTGTGTACCCCTAAAATTGGCGAAATTTGGCCCTAAATAAAATATACCCCATCAAATAATACACAGCCTAAAATGGGGATATAACATGATATAACCCAAAAAATAACTGTATTTGATGGCCTTTTTTGGGGCAACAATCTCATTTTGGCACATCGACAATCATCGACACCCTAAATGTTCTTCGCAGCGCGCCAGCTGCGGAGGTTCGCAGGTGATGATCCGTGAACCTCCAGAAGAGGAGATCAACCACCGCTGAGTCGTCGATGGTTGATGCGAAGAAAGTGTTTTTTTTAAGGGGAATCAATGGGAATATCATGTTTTTTTCCATGAAGATTTTCCGAGTCGATGATTTTCGGAGGACTTTCCCTTTTTGGGCAATCCACTACGACTGGAGATTCCGTCTTTTTGGCAATATATGTTATATACCCTCCGGTAGACTGCTACATAGCTATTGAAAATGGCCATTTATAGTCGATTTTCCCATTAAACATGGTGATTTTCCATAGCTTTGTTAGTTTACCAGAGGGTATGTATATATATATATATTTTTTTTGGGGGGGGGTCCCTTTTCGCAAATCCAAGATGACGTGAGTGGTTGCACTTTGCAAACTATCCAGGTGAGGTGGGATTTCCCCATCATCAACAGATATGGAAAGATAATGAAAGATATCCAATGGGTCAACACCATTCAAAACCTATGACATGACATGAGCTGCGAGAAAAAAAACGGCAGTGGCAGCCCATTTATACCAGCTATTTTGATGTGAACGCAAGGGCTGCAGGGTTTACCAAAATGGCTTCCATAGCAACGTGTTAAATCACTTTAAAGGGTAATTGTAAGATTAATCATCGACATGAGGATATTCATATATATATATATACATATTAATGATGGATTGGGAATTGATATCTGATGAGATGAGAACATCTACTCTCATATTTTCCTATATTTGTACTATATTTTTCCATCGTTTCCTTTATTTTCCAGCCACAGCCCATGTTTTTTTCCCAGCTGTCGTCAGCCATTGGGAATGTCCACCTCCAACATCGATGAAATGGTTGGAGTTGGGCGGCAAACATGTTGGAGCCAAAAACACGGAGACTTCTTTAACTAAATTATTTTTGGAGGTAACAAATTTAGGAATACCCTACAAATTTAAGAGATTAATATATAACTAAATTTGGAGTTTAAAAAAACATAGGGTCAATAATCGTTAATATTTGTTATTGAACATAGGGTAAACAATCTGACTGCAAATCACCGTTTTTGATGTCCCAAATCGCAATCTGTTCAATAACCATGGTAACCATAGGGTATCTTTTGCCAAAAATAGCTGCAAACATCTGCACTTCGATGTGGAAAAACCATTGATCATTTTTGGAACCGGCTTCCCCATGGGTCCACATCTTTCTGGTTCACAAGGTCGCTTGTCGAATTCAGCTCTTGAGAGGTGTCTGTCCGGAAAATCATGTGATATGAGAAATATATCCAGAAATGGGGGTTTCCGAAGTCAGTTTGGGGTACCCATAGTCATCACCCATTGTTGTGGCTGGGATAACTTCCATGAACCATCCAGCGATAAAGGGGTAGGTACGGTACCTCCATCTATGGAAACTCCAATTTCCCATGCCGCGATGGAGGTGCCCCTACCACATCCCCAGTGACCCATTTCTTGATGCATTCCCTTGATCAATGGGAGATCTTCAGGATCCTAAAATGGAGGTACGTTAGTACCATAGGTACGTTAGTACCATATTTTTGGCCATATTTTGTGGGGATATTCCCTGAAATTTAGGCCTAAAAAATAGGCCTTATATATGGTAGGTACCTCCAATTTAGGTTCCTAAAATGGCCATTGACTTGATGTTTTTCCATGATGTTTAGTCCCGATGTTGCAAAAAAAGGACGGGTACTTGTAGTAAATTCTTCCATGCACATTCACTACTTGAGCATGCTTGGAATCTACCATGTTTGAGGGTACAAATATGGTTCATATTAGATTGGAATCTGTATTTGCGATCAAGTATGGTACAAATCTACCTTCTTTGGTATCAAGTATGGTACAGATTCCAATAATTTGCTGGTGATTTGTACCATCCAAGTACCCATGGGGAAACCTTGGGCACAGGCTCCAACAACTAGTGGCGCCCGGATGATGATTTCATTTTGATGGGGTTTTCCCCCTCAGGTTTCCCAGCCTTTTAGAAATCCATTTGGCTATTGGTCAAAACCCTGTTACACCTAGTGAACCCCAAAATAGCTGGGATTTATGGATGTTCATCCCACTAAAAATGGTATTTTCATAGGTAACTTGACCCACCCCCATTTAAAAGAAATGGTCACCATCGTTGCAGGATGCTCCGATCTCGGTGCCGTCTTCTTTGAAGCTGCCGCAGCTCGGAATTGACATTTTTCGACCCAAATCCGTGAGTTGGGATTTGGAAGATTACCCGGCCTGGTAAACATACAAAAAGCTATTGAAAATGGCCATTGAAATAGTGGAATTACCCATTGAAAATGGTGATTTTCCATTGTTTTGTAAACGTTTACCAGAGGGTAGTTTCTGCAATTTTTGGAGAAGCAGAACGAATATATCAATATGTCAACGCAGATGAGGGAAATGGAACAGGTTGCTGCGACACAACCAGAGATTTGGTGGTAACGAACGTGCCCACAGAATATGGTGGTAAGAGGCAGCGTTGCGCCGCCGAACTTGAAAACTGAGAAGAATATGGGTTGAACTGTTGAACCATCAATAATAAAGCATCTATATAGAGATTTAGACGAAAAAAACAAATGCTGGGGGTACTTTTGACCATGGAATGGTAGTTGGGGAAATAGATTGGTGAAGATACGCAGCTGGTTTATGTCATGGAACATCCAAAAACTGGATGATGAAATGGGGTCGCACTATAGGAAACCTCCATATTTTCCATGTGATTATGTGGATTATGTATGGAATCCATGTATGGAATCGTTGGTAACCGGTAACCCATTGAATATGGATTTAGGACTGGTTGCTGGTTTCAACATAGCACTGAACTGAAACTCATCCCGGAATCCGTTCTAGATTAGACTTCAGTCTTGTACATGTTCTTTTTTGTGAAGACTTTTCGGCTACACTCGCCGTGGTGAGTGTGTAATTTTTGATGAATGTCCGGTGCACAATATGGCTACGTGGATCCATCTATTGACAAAGCTGCAGCAGATGAAACTGATGAGGTGGAGCTTGAGGTTGTGTGCTTGACCGGAGAAGGACTGAAATTGAGCGTCAATCGCTCCATGCTTGGGTCTGACCTGCGCAGGTTGGTGTCAGAGAAGCTTCCATGGAAGCCAGGCGCAAAGCTCGTCGTGCATCATGTGAATGGAAGTCTGACGCTGGATCAAAACTTGCGAGAGCAAGGGATTGTTGGAAAATCTGCAACGGTGTCCTGCACTTACATACCAACTAATGTGTATACAGCCTGGCGTTATGCCTGTGATCTCCCAAATTGTGAGCGAGAGTTTGCGCTGGAAGGTGTTACACATCTTGAAGGAGCACCTCATGGAGAATATCATCTCCTTAGGAGCCTTAGAAGCATCACTTTTGACCACAATTTCAATCAAAGCCTGGAGCGGGTGACCTTGCCATCAAGTCTTCAAAGCTTGAGTTTTGGCGACAGTTTCGACCAAAGCCTGGATCGGGTGACCTTGCCATCAAGTCTTCAAAGCTTGAGTTTTGGCCACTGTTTCAACCAAAGCCTGGATCGGGTGACCTTGCCATCAAGTCTTCAAAGCTTGAGTTTTGGCGACTGTTTCCATCGAAGCCTGGAGCGGGTGACCTTGCCGTCAAGTCTTCAAAGCTTGAGTTTTGGCCTGAAATTCAACCAAAGCCTGGAGCGGGTGACCTTGCCATCAAGTCTTCAAAGCTTGAGTCTTGGCGACTGTTTCAACCAAAGCCTGGAGCGGGTGACCTTGCCGTCAAGTCTTCTAAGCTTGAGTTTTGGCTTCTGTTTCGACCTAAGCCTGGAGCGAGTGACCTTGCCATCATGTCTTCAAAGTCTTCAAACCTCGAGTTTTGGCGACAGTTTCGACCAAAGCCTGGAGCGGGTGACCTTGCCATCAAGTCTTCAAAGCTTGAGTTTTGGCGACGGTTTCGACCAAAGCCTGGAGCGAGTGACCTTTCCACTGAGGCTTCAAAGCTTGAGTTTTGGTCGAAAATTCAACCAAAGCCTGGAGCGGGTGACCTTGCCATCAAGTCTTCAAAGCTTGAGTTTTGGCGACTGTTTCAACCAAAGCCTGGAGCGGGTGACCTTGCCATCAAGTCTTCAAAGCTTGAGTTTTGGTTTCTGTTTCAGCCAAAGCCTGGAGCGGGTGACCTTGCCATCAAGTCTTCAAAGCTTGAGTTTTGGCGACTGTTTCAACCAAAGCCTGGAGCGGGTGACCTTGCCATCAAGTCTTCAAAGCTTGAGTTTTGGCGACTGTTTCCAGCGAAGCCTGGAGCGGGTGACCTTATCATCGAGGCTTCAAAGCTTGAGTTTTGGGTCTGGTTTTGACCAAAGCCTGGAGCGGGTGACCTTGCCGTCAAGTCTTCAAAGCTTGAGTTTTGGCCAGGAGTTCAACCAAAGCCTGGAGCGGGTGACCTTGCCATCAAGTCTTCAAAGCTTGAGTTTTGGCCACTGTTTCAACCAAAGCCTGGAGCGGGTGACCTTGCCATCAAGTCTTCAAAGCTTGAGTTTTGGCCAGGAGTTCAACCAAAGCCTGGAGCGAGTGACCTTTCCACTGAGGCTTCAAAGCTTGAGTTTTGGCCGGAAATTCAACCAAAGCCTGGAGCGGGTGACCTTGCCATCGGGTCTTCAAAGGTTTGGCGCTTTCAATGGTGGTGAGACTTCTTCACGTCTGGTCTATGTGAGTTCCGCAGTTTTTTCTTAGTTTCGTTTCATAGGTTCCCTGATATCGGAGCAAAAGCGGTCTCTTGTGTTCCCTAGGGCCCTAGGGCATTCTAGTGGGTAAACCCTGGCCGGGGCGTTTCATCACTTTGTTTTTATTGCATTTTGATGGGAACCAAGCAGCTAAATATCAAGCTTTTTGGAGATTATCTAAGGTTTAGCCGTTTAGCCATGACATTATGGCCCTGAATCAATATCTAAGCCGAGCTTTATTTGACATCGCAAGACGTCAACATTCACCGCAAATACGGCCGTAGGTGTGTTGCTTTGGTACCATTTACCAATATTTAACCCAACAAAGTCACATTGAGAATCCTGATTGGAACACCAAGTTTGACTATGCATTTTCGGCATGATGTCAACCCAGGATCAATAACCTCTGACCCTTAATTGGAAGAGTTACCTCCAAACAAATCGATAAATTATGATTAAGGCTGGTAGCGAGGAGCTTAGCACAAAATCTAATCTTTTGCAATGATGGTATTTATTCCCAGGTATAAACCTCTAGTGGGATTTTCCAGCCACGGGCAGGTATACTTTAACAGTTTGCTATCGAAAACCACCATGGTTTGATGTTTAATAGGTAATTCATCGTAAATAATTTTCCGTAGCAAAGTGTCAAATTGCCAGAGGGCTCCAGTTTACTCCAGGAAGCTAGTGGTTCACCCAGAAGAAATAAACCCTTGATGAAAATAGGGTTTTCTCGCAAGCCCCAAAAGATAGGACACGTAATTTATAATAACAATTTCGCATCCGGAACGAATTCCTAGCGTTCATTCTGGGGGCACCATACCCCAAATCTTCATGATAAATGATTACGAAAGTTGCAACCCCCCCTTTTCTGTAAATTTTATAAACTTGGTGGGTTGAAACCTCCATGATCCCCATAATTCTTCATGGTGGTGAAAATATCATGGGTTCATATATTATTAGCTAACTATGTAACAATGATTCTTTTTTATGGTTGGGTTCAATCCCTTTATTTTCAGCAAATCCCAATCTTGGGAGCTGAACAATGATCAACTTGAACACATTCATAGCATAGCAGAGTAATCCCCCAAAAAGATGCAAACAAGTCATATTTATCACAGTATTTCAAGGTCGTTTTTTTCCTTCCATGTTTCTATATCTTTTTTGGGGTTGTCAAATTACCCTCTGGTAATTTAACATAGCTATTGAAAATGACCATTTATAGTGGGTTTTCCCATTGAAAATGGTGATTTTCCATAGTTATGTTAGTTTACCAGAGGGTAAACAGTCTATTTATTGGACACTCATATCCCTACTTAATCTCCATCGATTGCCGTTGCGCCAGCTCAGGATCCAGAACAAGAGTTTCTTGGAGATGAATGTGGTGGCACTAGGATGCAACTAGGTTTTTTTCAAACCAAAACATGAAGATAGTGACTAGTGGTTGTAAACCACAACATGTTCATAAAACATATATAACTAACATGAGGATATAAACCAAAACATGAGGATAATATATGAATTTTACTTCAATAGATAGTGGTTCTGGATTATCGAGATATTTTGTGGGAATACACAAGTGGGAAAATGGCTGTGGATGTGATAAATTTGCTGGATCAACCAAGTGGATAGTTTAGTACAACTCAATCTCTTGCAATAAAGCTGGCTGAACTTAAACCGATGTCACGTCTCGACGTCATCATCGAAAATCGGCTTAGCAGAGGGGCATCATTCCCAAAAGCTTGAATTTTCAGGTTGGTGAATTACGCTCCACATGATGCCGGAGAAACAATGAGATATTTGGCTTGTAATTAATGGGGATTTATATATATATATATCTAAATTGGAAGCAGGCCAAGTATGAACCTCCTGGTTCCTTCCCACCGGCCTCCAGGCCAAAACGAAAGGACACTTTCACTCCATCGCTCGTGAGTCCGAAAAGGTTCCTATCAATTGGGATTGATCCGATATGTATACGGATGCAACGACCTTGGCTGACATGGATGCTGTGGCAACAACATTGGTACTATCTACAAAAACAAAAAGGGACCTCAGGTGCTCCCACCTGGTAATATGCCCATCCGTGGCAAAGGAAAACTCAGGAAAAACGAAATAAGCTATTGTGTTGCCGCATCCTCTGTACTTCAGCTGCATCCAAAACTAGGCTGCATCTCATTTGAAAATTCGCACTACCCCGGTGCCAGGGACCATTGGAAGCTGATTCTCCTGAGAGCACTCATCAGTGCGGACGCAGAGATACAAGCCTAAATCTAAAAGGTGACCCTTGGCGGAATCTACTTGATTCATCACCCAGCGAACGTATGTGCGCTTCTCTTCTTCGATCAAGCGGCTGGCAAACAACTCCTCGTAGGACATGCCAGGCGTGCCACGCTTGTTCATGTACTTGCCAAACTGAATCACTGAGCGCCCCCAACCTTCCACATCACTCACCCCTGCTGGTAAGAAGATTGCCTTACCATGGGGAGTGCGGCCCAGCAAGGCTGGTGATGCCAACGGCTCTGTGGATCCAGGGATTGTGCAGTACGGGCGCTTGCTTGACTCGCCCTCATCACTCACTGGATTGAGACGTTTGGAGGCATCATTCATTGCCCCCCCGTGATTCATTGACTCCACTACTGAGAAGCTGCCCGGCGTGGAAGGTTCGCCACTTTCTTCTGAGAGGGCTGCACGGCTCAGAAGGTCTTGCAACAAGGCCTTCTCTGCTGACGACAACGGCTGGAGATGTTGGCTCATGACGGCGACCTACAAGGGTTGTGTAGGAGTCAGGGCACTTCCACCTTTGAACCAAGGATCTGGGCAAAACTGCGGCTGAAAGCAAAACTGCCGGATTAATTAATCCTATACATCCAAAATTGCTTGGTGTTTGCACTAACATGTTTCATGCAAGTGGAACGCTCACTTGGCGGAGTTTGACTTGGTGCGCAACCTTCGTTGTCTTTCTTCTGACTGAAGTTTCAATACTGATTCTTCTGAACTTATTTGATATCGGTTGTTTCTGATACAAGCTCGAAGCAAATCAGTCGGATCACCAGCGCTTTTGGTCAGAGAATCTGCTAGCATTCTGTTCGTCGGTACCCATCTAATCGATGCCAACAACCGGCCCAAGCTCTGTCGAAGGATTACGATGTCAATAGATGTTCGACGGTCTTCCACCGCAGTAGGAGAAGAGACTGCAATCAGGTGATCATAAAGTGATTTACAATCGGTAACTACCACTGGGGGACGTTGTTGAAGATGTTGAACATATTCTCTCACATCAGGGATTCCTTCGATGGCTTCCGCTAACAACAGTGATGTCCACTCCAACGTTCCCGTGGCTGCTACCATAGATTGAGCCTCTGCTGCTAATGTTGACCCCACTGCTCGGTGAAGACGAAAGGATTTCCACACGGCTGGAGTCCAGGTCGTTTCAACACCTTTGTCCAAAGCGTCAGTGGTGAATCCTATGATATATCCAGCCTGAGTGTGAACTCCAACATTCGCAAAAGCTGCATCGGAGTGGCAGCAAAGTCTCAGTTTATCCAATGGTATTGGTTGAAAAGTTATTTGAAGATCTGAAAATTGCTTGGCTCTTCGGATGATGTTGTTTGCTTCAAGTAAATTGTGGACAGTGGGACTGGGAAAACATTGTTGACTGAGACTGGTCTGTGCTGCTACGTCCGGTCGGCTCTGGGTGGCCAACCAGTTTAAGCTGCCATTGATGCCGCGGAGTATGCTAACTTCTTTCTGATCCAATTGTGCACGGCGATCAGACTTTCGGCTCTGAGGCAGGTGCGCTGGTCTGAGGGATTCGGAAAACGCTTTCTGAGACATGGTGATTGCACCTGTCACTGTGTCCTGGTTGTAGTGGGCTCCACAAAACTCGCCCTCATTGAGACGCCATTTTCTGTAGGGGAATCTTTGACGGAGATATGCCAATGATTTTTGGTATTTACTCCCGGACCCTCCAGTTGCTGTATCATCAACATGTGCTCCTAACACCCCAGTAAGCTTGTTCCCTTCCCTCATCCAGTACAAGCAGTTATCATATTTACTGCGCTCAAAACCGGCTTTCAAAACTTCTTCGTTGAAGACTTTATACCAGGCTGCTGGGGCATCATTCTGTCCATAGACATTTCCTAACACCTCGATCATGCACTCCGGGTCAATTCCCGGGATGCCCCCTGGTGGGAGATTGGCATACAGGGGACGGTAACAGCTTGGTATCGGACCTGCTTCAAGGAAGGCACCCTTGATGTCACCTAACTGCAACTGCCAACGGTTTGAAGACATTAGTTGAAACATCACTGTCCGTCCCATCTGTGACAAGGTTGGCGACTGCAACTGTCCAGCACTGGCCTTGGTGGTTAGGTCAGGATCTAAATGACCCTGGAGACACCATCTGGCTTTGACTCTCCAGTGATCTGCGTTGTTGGGGTCAGCTATACCACCGTTTTCGACTATGTCTTCTTCAGGTTTCTTGACGATGACAAACCTACTACCCATCACTCGATCCGACCTATGTTTTCTAACCCACCTTGACTCTTTGGCTGACAGCACTCGCACGGCATTCTTGTCAACCAAAGTCTGCCATTCGGACACCTTGGCCTGGTCCACTCTTGCCTGCAACATGGGTTCGTTTTTGCTGGCAGAAATCTCCTTTTGAGCTCTTTTCTGGAAATACTGATTAACAAACACTTCGATAGCATTATCTTGAGTGTTTTTGAAGGTGTTCCACAACTCATGAGATTCCTGTTGATTGCAGCATGCGGACTCTACGTAAGCTATGGCATGTTGAACCATGTCGATGTTCTCGTCAGTGCGAGAGACCTTTGGCGCTGGTTCTTCAGCTGGAATCTCTGCTGGTCTCTTGCCGGCTGCTGACATGTCTTGGTCTTCTTGTTGAACTGCGTCATCAATCAATTGTGGCACAACTTCACGCATAACTTCGACAAAATCATCATGACGCATGGCAGCAGGACGGAACATGGTCAGTGGTCCACCTTTGGATGGAACTCGCATGCGTCGAACTGGGCCATAGCTGGACGGTGTTTCAGCAGGCTCTTTACTTAAGGCATCATCTACAGCAGGTTGGCTAGATGAGCTGGGAGCACCTGTTGATCCAGTCTTGGGTTCCTCACAAGATGGTTCTTTTGGGCCCGTCTCTGTACATCCAGGATCTGTGATCTTGGCTCGTTCGGCGGAAGTTCCTTCCGAGGCATAAGGCAACGGCAACGATTCACTGGCCGGATGCGGTGAAGCTGAGGCACTACTGACACGGTCTCGTTGAGCTACTATTTCATCCTCTTGGGGAGGATAGGCTTGTGAGAGCAAATCAAGATATTGAGAGCTACGGAAAGTCCCTCCCTCTATCATGTCTTTGATACCCAACAGCTCAGACCCTGATGTGGCAATGAGTGCTTTCTCTTCATTGGTGGCCAATCTCACATGCTCGGGTGCACAACGGATTATATGGTTTCTGTGAGCTATTATCACATTACGCCCCACTAACCCAATTACTATGCCACTACCATGCCATTTACCACCCCTTGACAAAACCCCCTGGGACCACTTCTGATCGCGCCAGTATGCTACCACTTCACCGGCTATGAACGGCTTGTCTCGCCGAGGGCGAGCTAGCAAGGCTTTGCGAAGGGTTCGATCGTCCTGAAGAGACAGGACTGCTCTTCTGGCCGCATTTCGCACTTCGTACGACTTGGCAATGGCTTCATCCTGCAAGGATACAGTGCTGGGAACAGTGCTGACAGGTTCAGACAGTAGATCTCCTGGCAGGTCTGGGTTCTTTCCAAACACTCTTTGACTGGGCGTGAAACCATGGTTTTGAATCATCTGGTTCTTGACGTGTGATTGTACCACGCATTCTAACCATTCTTCTTTTGTGGATGGGCCCCGTTCTTCAATTACTTTGGCTAAAACTCTAGCAAACCACCCACCATGAACTTCAGTTTTTCCCAACTGCCAATGAGCCCCTCCTGCCGTGACAAGTACATGTGTTCCCTCCAACTCCGTAGGTTCAACCATAGACTTCCCCAAATTGGTGCGAGCAGGATCCATCACAATTTCTTTGGGAGGACCTGCCCACTGCACCCACCGTTCCAGGTAAAGTTTCCGGATGACTGCGGCTGTTTCGGTTTCGAAAAACGGCAACATAAGCTGAAAGGAAGATGCATGGTCAACACAGTTGAGAGCAGGAATTTTTTGGTTAGGCTTCCATCCTGGCAAATACTTAACATCAAGACCCACCCTTTCATTGAACTCTTGAACAGCGGACGTCTTCCCCGGATTGGCTGCCGTGGGGGCTTGTCTGGCTGTGCAAAAATCACATTGCAGATCTCGGGCTAAGCGGATGGCTTCTTCGGATGCCTGACCGTGTTTGAGCACTCTGACCAAGTCCTGATTGCTTGGGTGTCCAAGATTTTTGTGAAGGCGATGCAACGTGTTTTTAACTTTCTCTGGATCGGCCAACTCCTGGACGGCCAGTGACTCAAACACAACATCGGCAGGGATGGCGCAGTGATCTTCAATGCATTCTAGAGTTTCCACTGTTCGATTGAAGTTAGGCACTGTGGCTAACACTGCTGACACGAATTCTGCCGTGTAAATGCCGGCATGCTTGCTGACTAAACCAACTTCCGGTTCAGATCCTGCTATCACTCGGTGACATCTGTGTTCGGAGTGATCATCACCTGGGCACGCGCGCTGCAGGGATCGCATGTTTTCATGGCTACACAGTAACTTCGTGTTCTTCTTGATCAGCTGTTTGGGATGGTTCTGAGTAGCAGGAACATGCAGGTTAAAGCAGCACATGTGTGTGTTGAAGGCATGGAACATCTCACTCCACTTGACAAACTGTGGATCATCCCAGGTGCATGATGGGCTCGGGTGTTCAAACATGAAACGACCACCACAGTCGATCTGCTGTTGGATGAGTTTCTTACAAAACTCTCGTTGCTTCTTGAGTCGCACCCTACGTTTGAGGACTTCGTGAACAGGGATTCTAAGAGAATTGATATGAAACCAGCCTCCGGCATCAGTGCAAGGTGGACACAACACCATCAGTTCAGGAGGATGATCCTTCATTTCCTGTAAAACCCAGGCCTGAGTTTTCGGATCATCCAGATCCCATCCATTCTTGATGTCCAAGGAAAGACCACGCAGTCCAATCTTCTCAACCTCCGGAACAAATCGGGGTGGGCAGAAAACTTCAACCACTGCATACTTACTTCCTACCCTAGGTTTCTTGACCGCTGTTTTCACCTGTTTCTTCAGCTTTCTCAACTGCTTTTTGGTAATGCCACCTGCTTTCTTGCTGCTAGATATGGCGTTTACTGCATGACATGGTTGAACATGAGCAGAACTCTTGACGGTGGCAGGTTCATGGGAATGACAAGTACAAGACACACCCTCGGATGAGGGGGCAGGGACAGCAAGACCAGGCTTCTGACTCTCATTCTTTTCATCATCGTCATTACGTTTATCCCCACTTATTCCCGTCTTATGGTTATCCCCAGTTACCCCAAGTTCATGAATGCTCTGCATCAGGGCATTCGGCAGTCGAGCCTCGACCATGGCAACTTCAGGAGAGGCGTTAGGTTTTGGAAAATCCAGCGCTCCCAACACATATTGACCAGCGGCATTGGATTTCAATTCCAGTTCGACTGCTCCAGAAAACAGTTTGCACCCAACCGTTTGAGTGCCGGTCTGGACAATAAAAGAGGAGCATCCCCTTTCACCACTGCAGCTTGAACATTTCCGAAGCGGCCTGCGAGACCTATTGGCATGATGACGACTTTCTGAGAAGTCTCACGGTCACCGTTCCCAAACTTGAACACATTTGTTTCAGTTTTGAACTCGGGGCCAAATCGACCATCCTGAGTCCAGATCTTCTGAAACTGTTCCAAAGTCCGCTCACCAATAATTGTCTTACCGCACCCAGAGTCCAGTACTGCATATCCCGGGCTACTGACCAAAAGCACCTCAGTTGAAATGGGCTCCAATTGTTGTTCACTTCTCACTGCAGATTGCGATCGGCGATGTCGCAGCTTTTGTAGCAAAGTTTCAAAAACTCCTACTGATGCCACGAAAGACGGTTGAACCTCTTCATCCACCGCCACATAGCTTGCTGCATTCTCTTTGGAGACGTTCTTGGAAGAGGAGGCAGAGTGTGAACCTGAAGTCGAGGTTGCATCTCGCTTCTGCCTGCATTCCCTCGCCCAGTGGCCTGTGCGGCCGCAGCGATTGCACTTTGTCTTGCGTTTCATCTCCTCAATCTCCACACGAAAGGATCGCTTCATCTCTTTCGCTTGATCGAAGCGTCGAGACTTCTGCAAGCGAGCTATTTCCGCTCTCTTCTCTTTCCATGTAGTTGCTAGTACTTCTGCTACTTCTTGTTCTAGGTATTCCAAACCAGAATCATCATCAGCAACCTTTTCATGGTCAGCTAGAAACATCTCGATGTCATCAAAACCCATCACCTCTTTGTCACCCAGTGGAGAATCACCTTGCTCATCCTGTACCAACGCCACGGCACGTCGTTTTCCGACTATAAAGTCGGGATAACAGCTTCTCATGGCCTTGCTGATTTCTTCTCGCTTGAGAATGCCCAGTGATCTTCCCTTCACCACGGCCTGTTGTTATCGTTGAGACCACTCCATTTTAGAAGCATATATCCACGAGCCTCTTCTGGAAACTTGACTCCACTTTTCCTTTCACACCTATCAAACAGCTCTGTGGCCCGGCTCACCCAGTTTCTCAACGTCTCGCCTTCTTTGGCCCTGAGGTTGAAGACTTCGTTGAGGACTTCGCCAAGCTCATCAGATTCGTCGCGTTCTGGAAACCTGGAATCCAGCATCTTCAGTAAGACCGTTTCTCCATCGGCCTTTTGATACTCTGTCGGATCCACATGTTCAACTGTCTCCAGTGCTTTTCCAGATAGGCATGTAAACAGAAAGGAGCCACGTGCTTCCTTGGGAAGCTTGTCCATTGTTTGAAACTTGTTCACCAACCACAATTTCCATCTTCTGTACTCCTTGTAGTCCTCCGACTCGCCGCTGAAGCAGCGAATCCCTCCAGACGCGTCACTAGACGACGACTGTCCGGAAGACATGGATGCTGTGCTCGCGACTCCTCCTGGAGTCTGAGTAACTGCGTAAGCCGGTCAGCGGACCGGCTCCGCTACCAATCTAAACTGGAAGCAGGCCAAGTATGAACCTCCTGGTTCCTTCCCACCGGCCTCCAGGCCAAAACGAAAGGACACTTTCACTCCATTGCTCGTGAGTCCGAAAAGGTTCCTATCAATTGGGATTGATCCGATATGTATACGGATGCAACGACCTTGGCTGACATGGATGCTGTGGCAACAACATATATATATGTGTGTGTTTCACCCAAAACGGTGATATGATCATGATATAACCCAAGCAGAACACATGCAATTAGTACACTGTTGGCCATATCCCGAAACAACAAGTCAATGATGGAAAGTGAACATTAGCCTTAATTAAAAACTAGATGTACTTTGTTTTTGGGAGAAATCAAACTCTATGCCCAATGCTTTTGGATGGTGTGAAATTCTGTTCGACCCCCCATATGCCAATGGATTGTTTCAGATCCTTCAACTGGAGGTTTGTGGGCCACTTGGAATCCAAGGTCTCTAGCTGTGCGTGAAGTGCTGGGCAGGTTTTTGTGAAGCATCCCTGATGGTGGTGAAACCATGTAAAACCACCATTGAACCAATGGTTCAAGCACAACTATGTCATATAATATGAATCATATACCCATGAAATTCTGAGCAAGACCATCGATTTTTGACACCACATCCGTCCGCAGTCGACACCACATCCCATGGCTAAACCTCGATCTCGCGGAGGTCGACCGAAATCTGGAAATTATCCCACAATAGCCGAACTATTCAGGTTAGTGAAATATTATATAATTCATCCATATATATATATACAAATATATATAAATATATTTACTAACCAGCTAAAGCAACTAAACATTTTTTTTTGGTGGGGTATCCAAGATTGGCAATGGATGTGGAAACTCAAATCCCGGAGTTTTACCCAATGCCACGCCAGGCAACCAAAAATGAACACAAGAATTCGCTGCTATCATGACATATATTTACTGTACTGGTTTGGTGTCATGATTCCCAAACGCATAGCGAAGGCTTCTACGACATCACTTCACGCTCTTTTCTTTTACTGTCTTAAAATATCTTAAAAAAATATGGTTACCAATAAGCAATGGTTACCGAATATTATTAGTAACCACTATTAGTTCTGTACAATCAATAAACAGAACTGATTGTACATATACTGTATATATTTGTATGCATTCGGCTTCGAGGGTTAGATCAGTTTTTGATGATTGCTTGCTCAGGTTCAAAGCCAAAGGACGAGGAGCGAAAGGGAAGACAGGGGTCAAAAGCCAAGGGCTTTTCAATGGTTTTCATGGACCAACTATGGGCTCCAGAAATTGGATTTAGCCCATCATTACCCCTTGCGGAAGATGATGATCGTTGCGGAAGTTTTGAGTCGTCAAACGACAATATGGACAGATGCAGCAGGAGTGAGAGCAGGCAGAGAAGAGAAAGAGTTTGAAGAGAATAAGTCAGAAGAAAGAAGATCAAGTGCGCGAAAAGGTAAAAAAAATCGCAAAACACTGTGCTTTTTCCAATGTTTTGTGGCTTCAGAGGGTCGAAAAGTAGGCTGAAGTCAAAATGCTAAAAACACCTCATTGTCGGACCACGTTTGGACGTTGAAATGTGGAAAAAGTGCGTGCCGTTGTGGCACGAAGCACATTTGGAAGGGAAAAGGGTAAAAACACCATATGTTCGGACCACTTTTGGAAGTTCAGATGTGAAGCACGTTTCCAAGTCAAAGTATGAAAAACACCACGTTCGGACTGCTTTTGGGCGTTCAACTGCGCCACACAACACCACACTACACTGCATTGCACTCTACAACTACAATCAAAAACTACTACAGCTACAGCTACAGCTACAGCTGCAGCAACAACAGCAACAACAGCAACAGCAGCAACAACAGCAACAACAGCAACAACAGCAACAACAGCAACAACAGCAACAACAGCAACAACAGCAACAACAGCAACAACAGCTACAACAGCTACAACAGCTACAACAGCTACAACAGCTACAACAGCTACAACAGCTACAACAGCTACAACAGCTACAGCAGCTACAACAGCTACAACAGTTACAACTACCATTACCACTACCACACAGCTACAGCTACATCTACAACTACAACTACAACAAACAACTACAACTACAACTACAACCACAACTACAACGCTACCGCTACCGCTACCCCTACGACTACCCCTACCGCTACTGCTACCGCTACCACTACCACTACCACTACAACTACAACTACAACTGCAACTGCAACTACAACAAACAACTACACCAGTAGCACCGCGCAAGGTGATGGCGGAAGTTTCAAAGATAGGAAACTATAGGAGAGGTGAGTTGTTGTGATGCATGGATGGCAGAGCGACTGATGGACCGAATTGTGGTTGGAGCTGTGCTTTTTGGAGTGGTTGCAGTGGTCACATCACCCACAACTGCTGGATGTAGCGCGGTGTAATGTAATGTAACTGTAGCTGTAGCTGTAGCTGTAGTTGTAGTTGTAGTGTAGTGGTAGTGGTAGTTGTAGTGTAGCGTAGTTTCAAGTAGCGTAGTGTAGTTGTAGTGGAAGCCGTGGCTGTACCTGTAGTTGTGGTAGTGGTATCGTTGTAGTTGTAGCTGTAGTTGTAGGTGTTGCTGTAGCTGTAGTTGTGGTCGTTGTCGTATCCGTAGTCGTAGTTGGGGGTAGCCCATTGTCAGGCAAACCCAAATGTGGGATAATGATAGTGCCGGTGTGTTCATCAAGAGAACTGGGCATATCAACCTTACAAATGAGATATAACTATATACCCAGGTGCTCCATGCTCCATGCATGGAATTGTCACCACCATTTACCCACAAGTGGCGGAAATGATATATATTTTCAACACATGGAGCATATGGGATGCATATAATATATAGGCCATATAGGCTAGGCAGCAATGATCAAAGGATTTTGACCAACAAACGTGGTTCACATAGTTCTTGGAATGCTGGAGTAGCCAAATTTTCCTGGGCGATGATCACTTTGGGGGTTGAACCTGGTCGATTCATTAGGAGGTCGGTCACCCACGAACAGTGATAACTTGCTATGGTGCCAGTCAAACAAGTCCTGACTTTGTTGTTGGTCTCCGCAAATTGGCTGGTGGAATCTGTTGATGAAAAAAATGCAACCAGAGAACCCATTGGCTTTCTGTAGTTTCAGTCTTAAATTAAGACTATGTTTTTTGTGGATGAGTTTTGCGGGAACCGACAGCGGTCAAAGGTACGTCACAAATAGAACCCAACCATACCTGATGTCAACCAAAATTTAGGTGGATGATGTCACACAGGTTGGGTGAAATCCCAAATAGCTTACAGCATCCACATGTTTGATGAAAATATCATCCCTCTAACTAACATAGACCCTGTCAATAGAGGATTGAATGACGATTCGTTTTCCAAAAATTGGTGATTCGCAGGGTCTGTGTTTGTGGATCGAGATCTTGCCCGGCACCGGTGGGCCTTTGATGATCTTGCTGCTCGAGTTGTCCGAGCGGTTAGTGACGATGATCGTAATTTCTATGAAGATCTTGCAACTCATGCTGGTGATGAATCCGCCAAAGGAGCCCGTGAACTATGGCAAGCCATCAAGCATGCTCTGCCCCGTTGGAGCAACAAACGTCGAGCCAACTTGCGATGCACTGGGCCTTCCATCGCTGATCAGCTTGAGCACTATGACCAGCTGGAAGCGGGTCACGAGATCTCCTATGAGCAGTTGCTACATCGATGTCATCAGGCTCAGCGTCAAGCATCATTGGACATTCCCCTTACCATGAAACTTAGGGATTTGCCTACAAGGATTGATGTCGAAGCCCTTGGATGCAATATCAAGGTGAACAAAGCTTCTGGCATTGACATGATCATCCCCACTGCCTTGAAGGATGCATGCCAATGCGTAGCATTTGATGGGTGAAATCCGAAGCGTAGGTAAAATCATGTGAACTTCCCACATGATCAAACTGGAAATATGTTTGGTGAATATTATACCTGGTTGGTGGGTGACTCATTATCCCAGTAACTCCATGATTGGTTAGTGATTATAGGGAACCTGATTTATAATCCATTAGCTTTTGGAGTCAGATTTTTCATCCATTATTGATTATAGGTTAGTGATTATGAGAAACATGATTTATAACCTTTATTAGGAACCATTTATAACTGGTTGGTGGTTTCAAACATTTTTATTTTCCATTTCATATATGGGATAATCCTTCCCATTGCCTTTCATATTTTCAACATGGTTAAAACCACCAACCAGATAACCATTACTTGGAGTACCCTATTCTCAGACAAGAGCATTTTATTGGTCAACCAGCCCGGGGAACCCAGACTCTCTGCATCGCCCCTGCAGGCTCTTGAAGGCGCCAGTGGGAAGTTGGGATGTTTTTCTCCAACGCCCAGCCATATGTATATCTATATGTATAGATATGTAAAACATAGCTATATACAACCTATAGAGATCATATACAACATATATATGTATATATATATCATATTATATCTCTATATCATATAGTTGTATATGATCTATATAACATATGATACATAGTAATTTTAGTTTGTTTCTTTTAACTAGGTCAATCTTACATGGATACTTTAATCCTTTAGTTTTTGGTATCAATGGGATTTTCTCCGCTCATGGCTCGCCAGGCCTCTGCGACAACTTGGAGGAGCTGGGCATCAACTTCGACTCGGAGGAGCTGGAGCTCTTTTTGGTGGATGGTTATAAAATGGGATTTTCTGTAGTATAAAATGGGATTCTTATGGGAATTTTCCATTATACTACAAGTATACTCTTTAGATAATTCTATAAAATTACTGATTGGTGGTTTGGAACATGACTTTTATTTTCCCCAACCAGATTGGTGATGATGATCCAATCTGGCTTTCATATTCTTCAGAGGGGTGGCCCAACAACCAACCAGTTATGA